ATTCCTCCTTGCCACGTTGTTCTCACATCACAGCCGCCCATCCAAATCTATCTAAATTCTGTCTATACAGCTAGGTATCGAGAGTTCATATTTTTATTATCCTCATACAGGGAAGGTAGGCAGCTCCGTAAAGAAACTTGTTCACATAGCTCACGGCAAGCATAGCTTCGCTTGTTAGTAGCGTTCCCGCAGATCACGAGACTTGGGCAGTTGCCAAAAGTAGATTTCATTTTTAGTCTTTTTGCTAGGAATTGTCACAGGTCCTCTCATTCGCAGCATATGCCATTCTTCTGTCACGTTAAAGTTTATTGCCCAGGGCAGTTACCCTTTGTAAACAGGTTTGCTAACCGTAGGCACCAATGTAGTGTCTCAAGACTTCCCTGAAGACGAAAGAGGACATAATGCCAAGGTGGAATATAAATTATTGACGTACAGAAGGGCTGGAGGCCTTGGAGGAGGTACAATGATAGAGCTCCTAAGGAGGCAGCAACCAAAACCGAGGGGTAAATAAACAAGTAGCATTAACCCGAAATAGCTTTGTTGCGCTTCGCCCATTCAGTCTACACACTGTCTACAGTCAGCATACAGGCCATAGCGAAGGATCATAGTGAGGACCTTCACATTTTGTGTGCCTTGTAGCGCCTCCAGCGGTAGTGCAGATACTGCATTATAAGCCATTGGTATTTCATTGGATGGATTTTAGCAGTCGAAAAGGATTTCCTGCGAGAATTCAATACTATCTGATATATTCCTTCCAAACTCCAATTTAAAACGGGTGATGTCGACCCCTTTATATGGTGCTGGAGGACCGAAGTAAAGTACTTCCTTGGCCCTTCCAATTAATCAATATCTAATACACGATATTATTTTTTATTCACTTTAACTTCCAACATCTCCCTGAAATGTGGTTTTGCAAAGGCCTGACGCAAGTACCTAGGTGGGGGGGGGGAATTACAAATGAAGTAGCAGGGGAATCAGGAGGTCCAACTCCTCAGAATTTATTAGCAGACAGCCAATGAATTTTCAAGCTTCCGTCAGAATGCTCACTCGCACACCCAACGTAAAAGAAGAAACAAATTTATCAGCGCCAAGTACTATGTGTGAAAATAAAATAATCACATCCATTTGACTTGTAAGTTGGCGGTGGTAGTAATAATATGCTGGGACATCTAATGAAGGGAGTACAAAGTAGGGTGTCAGAACTTTACGAACCTCAGCTGACATTATGTTAATCTAAAAAAAGGAAGTCACACTGATGCAAACGCTAGATAGGAAGGCAAAATTTACTGATAGACATAGGAGAATATTTAACCAGGAACAGTGACAAAGGTAATATTAAGTTTGAGAACAAGTACTTGTTAATAATGGAATGGGTTAAGTGTTTGTTTAACTCTCATTTTTGAGCAATGGGCCACTTGGTGCTCCACCTTTGTACCTCCACTTAATGACCTGGCTTCCGGGTCATGCCAGTAGCACCCCTTAGCCCTTGTAAATATCGATAACACATATTCTGCTGGAGTATAGTGTCTACCTTCGTCTTCAGGGAAGGCTCGAGACGCTGCATTGGCTGCAGCAGAAAGTGAACCCGGTCTTGAAGGCCAAACAACCTGATTTCTTTTGTTGAGTGCTAAACATTAGCCTGACGGGAGAAGTGCATATGGTGACAATCCCTAACAGTAGGACAGAAAATGACATCAATCTTCGGCAAATACCCAAGTCTAGCGTTCTGTAGGCATGAGATTAACAACTGAAACAATATTAGCATTGAACCACTAGGAAAAGTTTTGTTACGGAGCTGTCTACAGTACTTGCATGAAGATGTCAACGAAGTGAACACTTGATACCTCCTCCACTTCTCTGCTAGCCGATCGAACCCAGACAGATGTAGCTGGGCAGCTGTAAAAGGAGAACAATATGGCAAGGAGAAAATTGACTCAAAACCTTCTCTCTACTGCTCAGGTTAAAACCCATTTAGACCAGTGTTTCTACGACTAGCGATGGACACGCGAGAGGGCCAGCAGATTCCCTCGTTTCTCTTCTCCTCCAGAACAGAGGCCCGTGATGTTACATTCAAGTATTGCCTCAGTTGCACGCAAATTCGGTGACTCGCAGCTGATTCTTGAGTGCTTTTCTTACAGCACCGATTACGTTGTGATGGATGACGCTGAAGTTTGACCAAAAGGGGAGCGCCGATGACGATGTTCAGAGGGAAGAGGGGCTGTGTATATCGTTAGCTGCTTCCTTAACTCTTGGTTTTTTTTTGGATTGGGTCGCTTAACGATTCCGACATTGTACCTTCGACGAAAGACCTATGGCCCTGTCCATGCCAGTAGCCTCATGCCCTGCTGTACGTCGAATATGCATTTCCTATCCGGGTATTAAGTCTTCTTCCTACTTCAGAGAAGTCTCAACTGGACTACTTCATACCTCCCATTTAATCAACCTCCACTTTACACTTTTAAAATGGTCGCAGCATCAGTAGTTAAGTCAATTTTTATTTTGTGTTGGTACAGACGATTTACAACTACTGTCAACTACGATAAAAGCGGCTGCAGTTGAAACCAGTGGTAAAAGATATGTTAAAGCATCCCACAGTACACGTGGCAAAAGTTCACTGCAAAGCCCCCTTTCCTCTGGCTAAGCTACGAGCGGGGTCCAAAAAGTACACCAATGCACTGATGATGGTGATGTCAGCCACCTGCCAAGGAGTAGACAGTTCAACGCGTCTTTGAAGATGTACCAAATCTATGCTTGAAAGACGTACTTCCCTTTAGAATAAAGCTTGTCATTTCTGCCAAGTGCATGTATAACACCCACATTAACTTATTCACAAATAACTATCTATCCCTTTGGCTGTGATTTTCCCACAAATTTCATGGGCACATCAGGGTAAAAAGGAGTGGAAGCTGTAAGGTTGGGAAAAGAGTGAGAAATTGCCACCATAGAGATCGTCGCAATGTTACACTAAAACTACAAAACTTGGTAAATTTGTTTAACTCCGCGTTTTCGTTTTGCGGGTATTTAAGCCCCCGCTTTTGTATTCCTACTTAGCAGCATGGCCTTCGGGACATACGAGTATCCCTCCAGCCCTTCCCTGCGTCAGCAATACATGTTCTGCCCCAGTACTGTGGCTCCATTCGTCTTCAGGAAAGACTCTAGACGCTGCAACTCAGTGTGGTATAGGGAACTAAACGCACAGGGATCACAATTAATGCTTAAAATAGAGCAGCTGAAGTTCCTAGCTAGAGAAAACAAACTTTCAGGAAGATAGCGTTATCAGTAAAAACTAGGCATACACATGCTGTAAAATCCTTTAATGCAAAGGTTGCGGTGATTTTACATCTTCCGTGACTGTACATCTACCCACACAGACTCTTCAGTCCCCCCACGTTGTGCATCAGATCGTAAAGGTAGCCTCTTCACATTCCCGAGAGCCTCAAGGCGCTACATTGGTGGCACTGGCAAGGAAAGTATTGTCTTTTCTATGACTGTTTAACAAGTCTTAGCATTCCGGGAGCGGGGACCTGATACGGATGCCTAAATCCATTGAATTTTGGCAATTTTCTTTAATATTTTGTCCAAGAGGAAGAGTAATCACGAGTGGGGCGGACTAGACTTGAACATATTAGGGAAAGTCAGTTATGGAGGTGTCTACAGTGTTTATGCGAAGATGCCAAACACGTTAACAAATGCCACCTCCACTGGGTGGTTGGAACTCAGATAAAGGACTAGAGAGCACCAAAATGGGGACAGAGTGCTAGCTTTACAAATCTACATTAAATTTCGCCTTTTATCTAGTAGTTTTGCACCTAAGCTAATGTTTATAGATAGGTGCTTAATATGCAGATTGCATTTGTTGTGAGGTCGAGTCTAACTTTGAGCAGTACGAAGAGTGTGAATCCTCTCGCATCCAATTAAGCACTTGAATAGGACAAGGCTCCAGGCAAAATAGAATCATCAACATCCGTCACTGGTTTATGGATCTTTTCGTCTGCATGCAAAATTCAATAAATTCCGTTTCTGGCTCTTCAGCGCTTATTGAAGCACCAATTGACCTGTGGTGACCGATGCATAAGACTGATCGAAATAGCACCGAGATCAACAGGCAAGAGAAGAATGGAGCAAACTATTGCTTTGATACATATTTAAAATGCATTTTATCTTCTTGGACAGTTCAACCCCCGAAAGTCGTGCTTCCGCTCTACGGTGTGACGCATGGAATATGCTAACAACTCCCTAAATCCCCTGAAAATTTCAAGACGACACTGTCACAGAATAACAAATGTGCAATAAATGGGTCATTATCCACTATTTCGATCAATATAGAGTTACGATTGGAACACTTCTGTTGCAGGTTTGCCTGCCCTTCTTTGAAAAAAAACAGGTATTGCATTAATTTTTGTTTAATTCTTCGTTTCAGTGATGGACAATTAAGGGCCTCTGCCACTATACCCATACCAAGCAGCCTAGATTTCGAGCCATGCCGGTGATCCCAAGCCCTACCGTACGTCGATATATATATGTATACATTTCGTCTGAGTAATATCTCATCTATAGTCTTCAACAAAATCTTTAAAAATTTTTGGCTTCGCCTAGATTCATAGATGCCCTCGCAATTATGTTGCCCTCCCAGACTTCTCGGAGGACGAAAGGAGACCTGATACTTGGGCAGCATATGTAAATTCGACACACAGTAGGGCTTAAGACCACTATCATGGATCAGAGATCATTTCACCTAGCATGCATTTAATGGCGGAGCACCTTAGCAATGCCATTACCAAAACATTACAATTTTCGCTTAGTTTTACCAAAATTAACAAATGGAATAACCAACCAACCAAAATAAGCCAAAATTGACAAATTCTTTATATGGCAGCCTCTATGTGAAATTTCGAGGTTTTGCTTATGTTAAACTGTTTACCACTGAAAACTTGTTGAAATGTACAAAAGTTGTGTCCTTGGAAAAAATTGTTTCACAGCACTTTGGTTTGGTGTGCATGATGGATGACATTGGAAGTGGTACTTCACCAAAATTCGATAAATCACCCAACGAATCTGATGGCTTCAATTGTGTCAAAGGATTCTATGATGCAGCTGCGAAAGATAAAACGAACTGCTCCCTTCTTCAAAGAAGAAGATCACGAATTTACTATATGCGCAACTTGAGTAACTGGATAAAAGGCACTTTGATCTCACGGTACCTTGACCTTGTTTATGAAAAAAAACAAGGGAACCGAGTGAATATCTTAGACCTCTGTTGTGGTAAAGGTGGGGACCAAAAGAAGTGGCAAGTGGGTTGTGTGGATCACGTTACCTTTGTGGATATATCGGCTGCATCTATTGATATTTGTAAAGAAAGATACAATTCTTTAAAATGTGGAAATTATCGTGGACGTATCTTTTCTGCGGATTTTATAGTGCATGACTGCACTGCTCCGCTTGACTTGAAAAGGTTATATAGCGTGGTGAGCTGTCAATTTGCACTTCACTACGCCTTTGAAAGTATTGATAAGGTAGTACCTATTATGTTTTTCCCTTAATAACTTTATATCGCATACATTACTTTGTATGTAATTGCTCTACAGATAAAAAACATACGAGCTTATTATTGGTGCTTGCTTCAGCTTATAAATGGCTTTATTGGACAAGTTGCTCTACCTTCACATTTATCACAGCGTAGTGTTCGTAACAGCGCGAAATTGAATACGTTGTTAAACCAGTCGCGGCATTTAAAATATGTATTTTGTGCTATCATGTAAAATTGTTGGATGCCATTCATAATTCATACCTGGTTTAAATGTTTGCATTTTTAAGTGTTTTTGTCTTTATCCTCAATTTCCTTTTTGACCAAGGCTCGTACTATGCTTCAAAACAGCAGTCAAGCCTTGGAAGAAGGTGGATACTTCCTTGTCACTGTACCCAACGCGTATGAAATCCTAAGGCGATTGAACCAGAGCAAAGACAGACGGTCCTTTGGGAACTCCGTTTACTCCATTACCTTCGACGAACTTTACACCACCCACCACCCTCCACCCCTCTTTAAAGCACGCTACCATTTCCAGTTGGAAGGTGTGGTCGATTGTCCTGAACATTTAGTCTACCCTCCCCTCCTGATTGCCATGGCGAAGGAAGTGAGTTTAGAGTGCATCGAGGGTCCCCTGCCCTTCGCTGCATTCATGCGCAGGACCGCGCAGGATCGTCCAATGAATATGCACCTCCTGCGCACTATGGACGCCTTGGAGATGTGGCCATCAACGCATCTTTCGAGACACTCTTTGCCCTTGCCCTCATCGCCCAAACGTGGCAGCGGTCATCACGATCGTAGCAGGAGTCCCATAGATCGGTGCGGAAGTACCGCAGGGTGGAGGTCAGGAGAGGAGTCCTCTGTAGCCGCGAGTGAGGTCGACGCTTACGCCCACGTGGAAAGGAGACGGTACTCCCTACATCTACCTGTCGGCACCATATCCAAACAGGAGTGGGAAGCTTTTTGTACATACTGTGTCTTTGTGTTTAAAAAGGTGGTACCCAATAGGTAATGACAATCTTGGTATTGGTTTTTGGATTGAATACTTGGATGTTTCCAGTATCATCCATCCGACGTGAACTCGACACCAATCCTGAAAGGGATTGGACTTACAAATTTATCCAATTTGGCGTTTTAATGACTTCACAACATTTCCTCGAGCGGCCAGAAATCCTGCTCCAATTAACACTCACAGCATGGATATGCGTTAAAGCCGATACTTTTGCTCTAACACCTTGCGGTGCATATTTCTACATCATTTTTTTCCGAGAGAAACCGCATTTTGCTTGTGATAATTCACCGCACGTTCTATGCTGTACCTTTTTAAAGTAAATTGCACCGTCGCTGAATAGGGTTCTCTAGTAACTGGCTTGTACGAATAAGCGGGAAGAGTACGAAGTATGCCCATCTTATGGCCAACCGAGATCACTATAGGCACGGTGGTCTCCAGGCGTGTGTATTTGTACTATTCGATCAATTTTGCTCTTTTAGGGATTAGTAACGTGCTCAAAGTACATCTGCATGTGATATTCGAGTGGGACGTTCCAGAATGTTCAGAAATCAACCTTGAAAAGGTCTCTAGGAAATTGAAATATGAGCGTTTTTCTTGCGGTTCCAGGTATCTACACCACTTTTATTCCAATATTTTCGGTTTTTTTCTAATTTACGTAATTGGGTGTCGCTTCCCCAAGATAATCTTGAGGGCACAACCTCGTTGTATGAATGGGACTGCAATTCTGTGAAGTATCCATGCGCAGATCGAACTGGAATTTCTCCAAAATTTATTACATCGAAGTCTACCACCCACCGCCCAACTGCTTTAGAACACGTTGTAATAAAGCGTCTGCTTAGGCTAACGAATGAATCAAACCGCTCGTGTCTGAAAGGTTGAGATAATGTGAGTTCCTAACTCCTTCGAGAGACGCCGTACTAACTCATACATCTACCCGAAATCTGCCTCAACCGTTATGGCACGCATTTATCCGTAAGGTTCATGACAAATTGTAAGGGCATTTGGCTAACCCGTTTCCCCCAAGTAGCCAATGTATTCCCTAAAAATCCACATCTAGGGACTCCTACCGTAAAAAAAGCCGTACGCATACATAAAAGATGACCCCCTTTTCCAGTGAAGTTTTCATTACACAAATTGTTCCTTCCTTCGTAAGATAATCTTGCGTATCAGATGCTACTAAAAGTTCTACTCATTACTAGACCAAACCTAAATTTCTCAACATGGACGGATGGAGTCAGGGTGTTACTGACAGACAAAAGGCAGAAGTGTACGCGCATTCAAAACTTTTGTTTCCAAGGGTAAATGACACTGTGGTGTATGAGATGGGAGAAGGATCTGCTGCCACAAAGTCCGAAGAAAGCAAAGGAGGAAAAAGTTGAGAAAGGTGCAAGCGTGGACAAAAACAACGCATGTGTGCGTACGAATGTGTGCGTGTTTGTTTGCGCGATTTCTTATGTACAAGAATAACCCGAACCCAGATCAACATCAACGATAATAATCGGAATCCGTATACCAAAATAAAGCGATCGGAGGGAGAGAGGGAGGGGAACTGTGTTGTGCGACAAAGAGAAAAATGTAGATGGTAGTGGACAATGTAAGCTCATTTAAAAAGCAACTAACGGAAGAGGTGGTGGAACTTGGTAGAAAGAGGGAAAGAACATGATAGGTACTTCCAACACTACTACTCTTGCAAAAAGAGAGCCGCCGAGGCCTCGATATCCTTCAAGGGACAGAAGGGCTTCTGCACAGATGACGCTGAGGGTAGTAGGTCACCGGAAGTAGAGTCTTGCATTACGTCCGCCAGGTTCGGCATCGTCCGAAGGTCATCACTGCTTGGGAAGAGGATGTTCGGCGTCTCCGCGACTTTTATCTGATCGCTATCGAAGACCCGGCCGGGGGCAGACGGCCCATTGATCGTCTGGTCCGAGCCCTCCATAACCCCAGTGGCGTCGTCGGAACCCGCCAATAGCTCCAGCTCGGGAGCGCTAAGGAGAAGAGCCTCTTCGATGCTTGCCGCCTTGGAGCGCGGAGCGTCCGAACGCGGAGTCTGTTGCACAGGTGAGGGCGAGAGTAGCTGACTGATCTGCGAAGAGACCGGTGGTGGTTGTGGATGTTGTTGCGGCTGCCCGCCCGACACCACGGCTTCATCCACAGACAGACTGTCGGTCTGACCAAAAAAAGCGAAACCATCACCGGTGCCACCACCACTACTGGCTGATGATGGCAGTGGTGTGGGCTGTGGCTGTACTACCGACGGCAACTGCTCCATCAAGGTCGGATCAAAGAGTATAGAAGGTGTCGTTGAGCCGATATCTGGAGACATCTTGGCAGTAGACTGAGGGTTCCCCAAGAAATCGACTGAGTGGCTAAGGCTTGGACCCCACTGCGGTTGCTGCTGTTGCTGCGAGGGAAGCAGACCTGGACACCAAAAAAAGAAAACACCCAGACAAGGTCAAAAATCGAACCACTATGCTTAGTTCCTTTAATTGTGGTTACGATACCTATAAAACCGAATCTTTTTCTCAAAATGAAAGACTAATTTTGCACTTTATAGCTAGTCGAAATGAGGACTATTTTAGATATTCTTGTACTGATAGGAGTCGAGATGAATAGGGCAATGGCTTCGCCGAAGACGAGTGAGTAACCTTAAAGAGATCCTCTTAAAAATAGCCCATCAAAGAATACAGACTCAAAATCCCCCAGTGCACGCTCGTGTGCGAAGGTTTAAGCTAATAGGTCGGATATTTTAGTGGTAAACAAAATACCATGACCACATAGATATTAGCGTCATCGAAAAGGTGACGTATTGGAAATTGTAGTACTGAGAATGGGACCTACCATTAGGCGTACAAGGTGACATCTTGAGAGGGAGGGAGCGCTGCTGTTGGAAGGGATGCGGACGACCAAATTGTTGTTGATGCAGGCTAGATTGAAAGTCGCCATTGGGGGAAGAGCCTGAGAAGGAGGAGGAAGTGGTGGAGGATGAGGAATTGAGGGATCCAACTGCGTTACCATTTACCACCAAGGCTCCCCGTGGTCCCATCGGACGGGGCTGGTGCCTTAATGTCACCGTGGGAGCAGAGGCGATGGGGAGAGATGGAATGCTCGAGTTGGGACGGAATGCAGCGGCAGTGACGGCAGAGGGGGAAGGCAAAAAGGCCTCCAAATGTTGTTCGTTCATAGGCACAAGACCAGGTATCTGGTCGGGAAAAGACGTAGTTTGGTATATTATGCGTACCTAAATAGTTTTAGTACCGTGCTGAGGCACGCACCTTATCATTGGGGCGCGAGATTCCAGGTGGATACATTTGTCGAGGTTGGGAGATGTATTGCTGATGTTGAAGCATGGAAGGTGGACCGTTTCTTCCTTGGGCGTAATGAAGACTTGGACCCGGCATCGGAGTTGGCTAAAATGCATCAGAGAACGACACACTAGAAAACTCGCCCACATCCAGCAACCAAGTTAGGCTGGAAGTTACTCTGCCACACCGAAGCTAGTCATGAGATGGAGTAATGGGAGGCAACGCCTTTAGACACATTTGAAGAATCTCTTGCTTTTGGAGGGGTTTACCACGGTGGAATCAATTCAGCGACACAAGTTGAAGGCTTCACTACCATCGTCTAAACATCGAGGCTGAGTAGATAACCTACTAAATTCACTTCGCACTCTCCATACGATACACTTGAGGGTGGATAGGTTCAGCCACAAAACCGCAAAATATAAACGCAAAAACAACGCTCAATTTTCTGTGCTCGAGGGCGCACATCGCCGCACAAGGCCTCGCTTGCTCACTCTAACACACATACACGCATTTGGAAAGTTGTTGTTCCCTCGAAAGAACGCAGTTCTACACTGAACCGGCTTGGAGAGAGAGAACACCTAAACTCCCTGTTCCACTGGTTTTGCAACACAATTCGAGGCAAGGGGGAATGCATTCTCGGTGAATTCCTTTAATGATAAGCGTTACGATTAAGCAGTACAGCTAAGCAGAAATATATGAAATAGGCAATACCTGTGTAGATGAGACACAAACACAAGAAACTTTGGCAACCCTAAACACATTTACTACAAAGTGCCCCAAAATTATAGCCTGTTGGTGACCGCCGATCACGTAAGACTGCGACTGTAGACTTTCGTGTGATTCCTTTGCCCGAAGCGTTTGAAGTGCGCTAGTTAGGACGCAGATCACCGATTAGAGAGTTGAGCAAACGAGGCTAGCTGAAGTTGATGTTACACACAGAGAATACAGGGTAAAAGTACACTCACCTTCCATCCATCTTTCATGCCTAAGAGCACACCAAATCACAAATAATGCCCGTCAAGAAAATTCGCAGGGAACATTCCTCGCTTCTTCAAAAGGGAAGGTGGTTAATCTACTGAAAATGACAATGATTTCTGTACCACAATGGGAGAAATCACGGAAGCCTAACCTGCTTTCACTGAGGCAAAGGCAGGCTCTTGGTTGTTTAAAAAAGTCTCCTCACACTCCGCAATTCACTTTACCTTCAATAAACATTTCAAAAACTAGATGTGGACATTATTAGCCATTCACGCAATTATCTCGGTTTATGGCACAGGCCCATCGTTCTTTTTTTTCAATGACCGCGCCTTCACTTGCGAGTACTTTTACACCCTAAAGTACACATTGATTCACAAGAACACAGCTATTCCACAGATGGCGGTTAACTCTCCCCCAAACATCCCGAGATGGCACTGCTTGCAACCGAAAATAATCGGACGGAAATCGCGTGCCCACGCCTGGGAAGAGGAGGAGGAGGGTTTAATGGCAAGTAGGCGGTTGCACAGTTTTATCGTGAAGCAGGTGAAGTACTGTCTAGCACTCAATTAAACTATTAATGATTGATACATTATGATAATGTAGTCGGGAGGAGGAAACACGCTGCCAGAAGAGATATGTGCCTTGGGGAAAGCAGATAATTGCTGTCTTAAAAGGAGCGTAATTAAAAATTAATTTCCCAACCCTTGATTGTACAACATACGGGAGATAAGTACCCGAAATCTGGAGAGAATAGTATGGCCAAGGAGTGAGCCTGCATTCCACAAATTTTCCCAGAGATCTGCTTGGCTTCGTTAACTACCCTAGATAGCACAGAGGCGTTGGAAGAGTGCAAAACTGAATTCGCATTCGAGGAGCAAAAAAACGGCCCAGTCACTAACTGTGAGTGAACAAGTAACGAGCCTGCTGTGACAGTCACGCAGGTCATCTGCTAAGACGCCGCAACTTGGGGCCTTTAAGTGGATCTGTTTGCACGCGGTAGTGACACTGGAGTACTCTCGTTTAGCCTACGGTTGGGTTACAGTCTACTTGTGCCTCGCTCGGCAGACAACGCCAGCGACATTCGGGGATGGAAAAGCACCACAGTGTAGAAAAATAGCGAAAGAGGCAATAAAAACTTCTTCAACGCAATAGTGGAGAAAGCCCAGGCTGATGCGGGTCGCACGAGCTCTCGATGCGTTTTCTAAGCCCACAACACCGCGACCAATGGTGGACTTCAGTTTCCACCGATCGCCTCTGATTGGTTAGGCGCATCAACAAGGTACACACACTTGATTAGCCTTAATCAACAACCATGACAAATTCGCGCTTTATTAAGGCGTCAGAGGTCAGTAAGTTGCAACACAATCGCATTGAGAACATGGCTGCAAGTTCCAATAGACACTGAAGTCTATTACATGACAAAATTAGTGTCGAGATGGGTGTTAATATCATAAAATAGCGAAGGAAGGGGCAAACGAAACGAGAATGCTACTCACAACCCGAGCCTTAATCACACCCTTAAAAAGGTACAGTGTCGTGGCAATTACCGAAAGTCGATAGAGCAAGCACGGTGAGTAGTCTGGGAGAAGAAGTGGGTAGAATATGCGGGAATGCGTGAATGCCATCCGTGCAAGTCCTCGTGCTCACGACGCGGCTAAGCCACACAGCAAATGCGCAGAGGGTAAAATCAATGAGGACAGTTTAATTTCGGCTTTGCATATCGTGGTGATGGCAGTGGACACATGCGCACATATGCATGCACACACACGCACACACATAAAAGCTGCCGACAAAAGACGGATCGCTTGTGAGAGAGCGAGAGGGACACACATACAAGTGTACAAACATACGCGCATACACGCGCGCACACACACATGAGAGGACTGGTGACATAATAATCGGTTGAAAGGCACACCCAGGGGGGGGGGAGGCCAAAGCAGCACGCACCCATGCACCAACCGCACCCGCACACGCACGGGAGCAGAAGTGGAGCTCACGTGCTCAACTGCTAATTGGCCCGTGAGTGCATGCTTGTGCACGTACGCACGCACCCACAACATACGAGACGGACGAGCAAAGTGGAGGGAAGATAGGCAAGAATGCCATGCTATCAAAAGGGACGCGATGTCATAAAAAGAATGTGCATAAAGCCAATTACTTTCAAAGACTAAAAAAGGTGGACGTTGGAGAAAAATTTACGAGACGTGGACAGAAAGAATAAAAACGTAAAATCAGTTGAGCCCCAGAGGAAACCTATAGTGGAAGGTAAAATCACTGAGAGTGTGATTAGAAACATCACCTATTGAGCATGTAGTTTGGAGGCTCATCATCTGGAAAGTGAAATCGCTGTGCACAAAAACTTGTCATCAGCGTAGTTTAAGGCTGTGTTGTGAAATAGCGAAAACAAATCTGCGATCACAACAACGCGAAAAACAAAGCAGAGCAAATGTGGAGGACAATTACCTGTGGACCACCTGGAACAAAGCCTGGATTGGCCAAGCCCTGAAACAGGACGAAAACAAAAACCGAATCATAGCAGGGAGGTAGGAGGGGCCAGAAGTATCTCGGGGTAAATAAATGCAAATACAATCCCAGCCAAGTATAGTAATAATAACAGTAGTTTGGCATGCACATGCTGAGTAAGTCAGTAGCTAGTGAAGTTTGATTTTTATTCTGATTATATAAGCGAAATAAAGCCCCCCGCCCTTTGTGACTCTACCACGTAATACGAGTGATTTCAGTGCGTTCTTGTTGGAGTGAGTGCAAATGGGACACAGAACTTTGGTGCAAAAATAACTAGGGTAGTTTTAGGGTCAAGTAGCCAGAATAGAACCAAACGAAGGTACGCAAGCGATCGCACACTAGAGGTGCTCAGGTGAAAGTTAACCGTTGATTGATTGATCGGAGGTGAGAACGCACGCACACGCACACACACACGCACATGGGCACGCAACTTGAGCACGCATTGGATACACGCACAAACCCATGCACGCCTGAAGCAAAGCAAACGCTCCGAGGTAGTGAGGTAATGAACAAGTGGAAGGCAAAGCACGAACTTACGTAGTCGTAGAAAGCACGAGCATCAGGGGAGTGCTTGAGAACATCGCGTCTCTCTGGTGCGGCGCAGTAGAGATCCCAAAACACACTAAGATGGGGAGGGGAAGTTAGTAAACAATTTTACTCTCTCAACTGCTAAAGTATGCTGCCGTCTTCGATCAGAAGATGATGATGATGGCTCAGCAATTGACCGTAATAGGAGGAGGAAAATGCCAAACAAGCACAGACAAGCACCTTAAATATTAAAAGTTAAGTAATGTTCAAGAGCGGAGATGACCTTAAATTGCTAATTACTGGTCTTTAGCGAGAAATCAAACCCTGAAGGCGATGGGCACGGGGTTATTGGTCGACTTCTGCTCCCATTAAGCACATTGTGAGAGGAAAACAAGAAAAGAATGAGAGTGATGTCGTTTTTAATTAAGTACTGAACTCCTCTTGATGTAAATAACACAACAAATGCTTGAAGGTAGGTAGAAAAAAAACAGCATTCGACGTTGCGTAATGAATCAAGACGACTAAGAGGATATACAGGAGGGAGAGGAAGGTTGGGAGTTGTGGGAGGCATCCCAAAGTCGACCACTGTACTACTAATCGAGGCCACACCACATGTGGCACGTGAGTTGAGAAACGAGAGAGCAAGAGAGGGGAGCAGCAGCAACAGTGCTAAGAGCGGAGAACATTTCCACGCACTGGCGCCACCACCACAGTGTGCATGCACACACGCTTCACCTTGAAGTGTTTATAAAGGCTGCAAAATTAGGCTAGAGGCTTATCCTTGAGGCTCGGAATACGAGTGGGTCAGCAGCCTTGTTTATCTTGAAGCGAAGTGATGTAAATAAGAACGGACCACCGTTTCTCAGAGGCCTTGCAAGTACACCTTCGGATGGTGGACGGTTGGTAAGCCAACATCAAACGTACAAATTAACTTACCCGTGCGAAGAACAAAATAAGATTGGGTTTGAGAAGCGGAGGAGGACTAACTTAAATAGGGTGCTCGGAACAACAGAATATGCCGACGCAAGTAAGACTTGTCCACCTAATTTTGCAAGCGATCGAAGTCAAAGGTTACAGATGAAGTACTGACAGAAAGAGGACTTTTAGCACACTGTTTTGATAAAAATTTGAATAGCATTTTGACTACAAAAAACCGAGCCTTAGATAACACTTTATGAAAATGTAGCAAAAAACAATTGGAAGAGAGTACGACGACTAATAAGGACAACGAGCTTACCTCCACCATGAAAAGAGAAAACCAGGGGCCTCGTTGGGAACAATGTGCTTCTCCCATCCGATCTTAAGGAAAAAACAAAGGAGCATAAGTGTTGAGAATTAAGGTGTGTTCGCAAATAGTTCGAACATGCTTTCACAGTGGGTTCAATACCGCATGAGCACTCCGTTTCGGCATACACTGAAAAGCTAAGGCCCGATAAAAATAAAACCTTCAATTTTAGCTACAGTTGCCGCAGATCGGCCAAACTCACACGAAACTACGGGACTTGAGCATGAAGTGGAAAAACGGGATGTGTAAAATGTGCAGAAAGATGAGGAAAAGCAAAAAGCTCACCGTCATTTTAGGTGCATTACGGAGATGGTCATTTAATCGGGATAAAAAAACGATGCACCCAACGGTAATCTTATTTTTTGACTCCAAACCAATAACCACAACAACGCTCTGGGCTCGACTCTCAGCCGCCTTGAGCGGGGTAATCGTTACTCAGGTCTCCAGCTTATCTAAGCAATACATAAACAGGAGGGAGCTGGATTAATCTGGCAGGCGAGGCGTGTGCGATCAAACAGGGCTAGGCAGAGGAGGAAGCAGCGGCAGAATACCAAGCCCAGGGCCTGCGCTCACGCACGCGCGCGCGCACGCACATGCAGCACAGACTGCTGATAACAAGCAGCCCTCCCGCCCCCATCTCGACCTGCAAGTGGAGCACAATGCCGGCGAAGTGCCGTTTGCATAGCTAGAAACCTCAACAACGCGATGGCACTGGCAGCGCCAATGTGTATGGGAATTCATCCACCTGGAATGGATAGTCACAAAACAACGAATCGATGGTCGGCGCACCTACACACACGCGCTTGCATCGAGATTACGCAAACAATGGTGGCATGAAAGGGGAACGCTAGGGTTGATCCAAAGCGAATTCCATTATTCATCAAGGTCTCACTCACAAGTTTTTGGAGTAAATTGCATCCCTTTCACAAAAATGCCACTCGCCTCAACTGGGAGGATTTCCCAACGCTATGCCAAATTTTTTCACCATCAATCGAACACATGGAATCTCGTAGTTCGTTACACCAGAACCTTCTTTTACGAATAGCTCCATTCACTCGAAGCAGGCTCTACAAGAAACAGCTTAGCACTCAAACCGAGCGTAAATCTGGAGGTTGGTTTGCGCTTCTGAAAAATCTGTCCAAAAAGATCGCTAGCTCTCTAGTGTAACTTAAAGCCATCATTTGAACGCGCTCGTAGTTGTGGTCGTAATTAGAGGTAGGGAACGTTTTCCAGCTGTCGCAACAGAGCCGCCAATTTCGGTTCGTTCAAGCCATTTGCAGATGAAAACACGACAGATAAATCCACCACCATGTTGAGCATTAACCTGAAGACAAATTCTCGATTCCTTTTACAGAAAACGCTTTTCCTCTATTGCAATTTACAGGCATTCCACCTACCACGCCCAAAGTTACAATTACTTCACCAAGCTGCAGTGATACCCGGCTTACTATCTAGCTATGATAAACTATTACATCTTCCACTTCCACGGCCCCCAGTGCAAATATGAGAGTGCAATAATTATTTCTGTCAAATCCAAAGGCTAAAGGAGTAAAAGGATGTAAGACCCAAAGAAAAGTATGAACCCCTAATGGCGTTTCTATCAATTCGTCGGCCAGCGGCACTGGGTATTAGCCGAAACGTCAGTCCAAGCCCAATAACTGCAAATATGGATGCAAACAGTTACCAGTAGAGAAGAAGAGACTCTTTTTAAGACAACAGAAAGGAGAGAAATGAAAGAATCCAATATTTCGGCTAGCAAAAATTACAATGTAGCATGAAGACCAAGACCGAAGAAAGAAGGCGAAAAAAGCTGAGAGTAAAGCGCAACACAGAAAACAAGTAGGAGAACCGAATAAGATTATTTGAGTCCAACGGAATCACTAGGGTGAGCGGGATGGAGGAGTACTGGCAACTTCTAGTTCAGTCAGTTTGAGCTGACCTCGGATTCGGGTGATATTGAGGTGGTACGGGGAAAAGAGGGCGATTTAAAGCCACACATGAGCACAAGGTATGCAAGACAAGGCTCACACTGAAACACAAAACCATCTGTTGTGGATCCATTTTAGGATGTCAAGAAGGAACTCGAGAAGGGACGACTAAGTAGTATTATTTTGATAAGCGAATTACTTCTTACAGATAGCAGTGGGAACACCGAAAAGCCATCACAAAACAGGACAGAAATATAAAAAATTAGAAGCCCAAACGACCAAATCGAAACGGGTGTACAGAAGGTGTAGTGCCTTACGATGGTTCGAATGCGCATTGTTAATAGATACTATTAAGAGCTAATCCCAAAAAATTCACTTTTTGATCAGTTGAAAAAGCATTGAAGCTCTAGTAAGGGATAATCCGACTGATTCATGATGCAGAAACAGTTGCTAAAGTGCTCGATGTGAGAGGTTTAGAGGGATCACGCGCACCAGTATAACTTGGCCCTTTTAAGTAGCATTTCTCTTAAAATAGTATCCAAGCTAAGCCGCAAGATGTTAAGCCTCGGACGCCAGGAGACAAAATTTGGCAACATCACATTAGTGAAACAGAAACGATGACACCGTGAAGAAATTACTTGGAGTAGTTTTGATAAACTAGTCCGCATATGGGGAATGTTATAGCTTATGGGATGAACTCAGCTTAGACCGATATACACTGGACAATCGTCACAGCAGAGCATTAGAAGTGCAACAACAAGAAGCACCATAAGAGGCGCTAAAAAGCAGCGATTTTACTTTTAAATTGAATCATCAAGTTACACTCGACTAGTCCGCAAGCCACCTTGTGAGTAAAGCTAACTCTGCGCTTCATTGATGGCCTTGGAGATGATTCGAACGCTGCGCATGAGCATGCAAGCGTGGTCTGGCTCCAATGGGGGGAAGTGCACCCAATCAATAAATGCGTGCTCCAAACTGATTAAACCAACGAACACAGCACATGCGGTGTGACTCATGCCGTTCCTCCAACAGGTCGATTTTTAGTGGATGCTGCTATAGCTACGCGTACATAATAAGGATGACATGGCAAAGAAGACACTCGGTAAAACTAAAAACACGAAGCACATCCCTACACACTAAGCAATTTTAGGATTACAAAACAAAATACGGGGAAAGAGCACCGATTAAGGCAACCGCAAGAGTGTAGGAATCTGGGAGTAATGGCGACTCAATGAGAGCAATTAATCCCCCAAATTAAACATTTATGAAGTAAAATCAAACCAACCTTGGGCAGCACATCCTATTGGATAGAGGGACATGAATACTGTAAAACCAATCAGAATTTTATCACCCACACGTATACACACCAACACCGGGGCTGCGGGTTAAGAAGACAACCTATGCAAAAGCGCAGTTGCAGCATAATTTTGCAGGTAATTGCTGAGCACATTGCTAGATGACACTGAGATGCGAAAATAGAACTACCAAAGAGACGACGGTGTGAGTCATGCCGTTTCCACCGCCTCACGCCAACCAGCAGCACACACCTGAGAGCGACGCAAGCGCTGTCCTCAAATTGACCCCAGCGAAGCACATACAGACGCACGATTGCACACGCATAAAGCCGATAAATATCAAGAATAGTCAAAGCAGTAGCAGACAATGGGACCACTCACTTCCTGAAGGAAAGTCTGTGCGGCCTTCTGAGCACCAGAATAAACCAAGTACTCGTACACGTAGAGCGCTAACCTACAACAGTGTGCACAGATCTGTAATATGACAGAGATTACTGTGGTAAGGTAGAAAAAACTAGCTTCAGAAGTAAGTATAAGTAAGTAAGTAAGTAAGTATAAGTAAGTATATACACAAGAGCAATAATTTTGTTTTGATTGCAGCTGTTAAGTTTCGTCAATATAATCGGAAAAAAGGCGTTGTGCACATTACGAAGAAGTATTTTGCGATTTAAAGAGCTGGAATGCGGTAATACGTCAAGAGCCAATAACAGGAAATCGAGTTCAACGGAATGAGTTGCTCAAGGGTAACGATTATACGCGTCAAACTGGTAATGCGAATTTGACAGTTACGCAGGTCATTTTACAATAAAAATGTATAATTCGATGTATTACGGTTACAAATAATGGCAATTAGGTTCAAAATAAACGAAATTGACTGAGCATAACGTTAACCTTGATTGTTCACAATAAATAAGGTGCAATAAAGAAGATTCCAAAACATCCACACTTGAAATCAAATGATTGGCAAATAAATCTGCCAAAGGTAGGTAGGAGGAGTCGGGGAAACCATAGGAATCATGAAGGTAGAAAAACTCAGATAGCATAGGCAGCTGATAGCGGTTTACTAGCTGAATCGCTAAATAACAAGACACAAAATGTGACACAAGAAGAGTTCGGAGGAATGCACACATGTCAAGGCAAAAAAAGTAAGACCATCTACGAAGCAGTAGAAGAAATCTGCCTCAATAAATCTAGCCCAAATTTAAAGAGGCATAAGTGAACACATTACTAACTTTTCACTAGCCTGAGCATCGGATGGCGAAGAAAATGATTTCGGCTTGTTAAACATCGGAAGACACACTTTCAGACAATTACAAATCCAGAATTTTGGCAATCCTGAACTTTCAGGAGAATTAATCAGAGGTTGACAAACCCCGGCACGCTACTGGTACGCCAGACGAGAACGTTCGAGCACACGATTGGTTCAAGTAAGATAAGGTTTGAGGTTACCCTCCGATTGGGAAATGTATTCCACCATTCTACTGGACGATTTCCCCAATTTAAGGTCAAGAAATATAACTAACTCAAACAAACATTTAAATATTTAAAGCTTAAAAATTTAATATGCACTTTTTTTATAAAATCTATCTGAAAAAATGTAAATTTTACTTCAGTGACCATTTGCTAAATGGACACTTTAGGTTCGCGATGTCTATCAAGAAACTGATAAGATTGGTAGTTTAGTCGGCGCATACTAAAGTGGATGTGGTTAGTCGGGTCCTTTTTTGAGTTCGCTTTACTTAGGGGTGACTTTTAGTGCCAGTGCTTCTCTGAGAATCTGCTATATTTATACACACATCTTATTTTTTCTAAGATTTTTTCGCGGTAATCATTGCCTCCTAGATAATGTTTCTTCCCGTTCTTGTAGCTTTCTCACCATGATTCTGAAGTGGCCCAAGCACTCATCTGGTCTTTGCAATAACTTAATCACTATTCACATCGTACATGGGTCGATAGTGGTTATCTTTTTTGTAAAATTAGAATGCTGGCACCATTTTTCTGTACTGTGTAGCGCTGAATCCATATTTTTTGATTTTTCAACAGTTTGCTTGTTTTATAAACTATAGGATGGAGTAAGGACCACAATTGGGCTTACATGCCCAAGTTGGTACTGGTGAAGATTTTCGCTTACCTGCCATGGCGGGATCGTGCTCACGCTGCACTTGTCTGTAAACGGTGGCTTAATGCATTTTGTTCTCCTGAAGTTTGGCGCGCATTCACCTATCATCCACCAGCTCAAGGGTTACCGAGGCTGCAGTATGATCTGAAAACCTATTACCTTAGCAAGTAACTATGCTTCTGTTTAGATTTCGTTTTTGTTAACTGTTGTTTGCTTACATTCCTGAATGTTCCTTCAGTTACTTATCTTGATGTATTTTTGGAGCTCTTAAGTCTCCAATGGTCGGTTTGTCATTCACGCGAAACCGATTACTAATCACATCTACTTTTGAGGTCGATTCTCAATTTCGAAACGCATTTAGAAACCATATTATAAATATTGTCGATAATATGCAACCTACTTCCGTTTTTCCGCCGTGAAGAGGAATTCGCAACATCGGTTGGCACATCCAGTACCTTCGCTTTCCCGAGACAGGTGACTATTTCATGCTTAACCGCGTGCTCTCCTTGATCGCGGAGTTTTTCGAAGCCCATCCTAGCCCACACAAATTCTCGGCCAACTCGGTTGTCTCAACGGAGATTCTCTTCCCCGCTTTGGCTGCTCTAGAGGCTGCTCTATCACCCTCGTCCTCCTCTTCCTCTCTCTCCCCACCGGAACACCGAAAATCATCTCTTGCTTCTCCTGCAGCGGCTATAGACCATTCGAACGAGGAGACAGAGAAGTCGGCTCAACAAGAAGTGACGGAGAAGATTCCCTTGAGTATGCTTGCTGAGGCTGTTTTTGGCGACCCGGATTTAGAAAATTCGATAAAGCTCGCCATGAAGCTTCAGCAGAGAGAGTATGAACGTGACTCGTCTTCATCGGACTCAAGCAGTTCCTTGGAGGTTGGTTGCGTTGGTGTCTTTTTTTCTTCATAATCATTTGCTTCTATTCATTCTTATTTGTTTTTACAACGTGAACTTAACTTTATTGCCCATTCATTATGGGAATGTATTTACATTTTTCATGCTTATCAGCGACTAAAGAAGTTATTTCGGTAATTATCCATTGTAGTTCGTTGCATCGGTCAAGTTACCTTTGCGATTTACTTTCCAATCACGAGTCCCTAATCGCTAGACTTTTTTCCCTGATTTTAATCTACTGAGCAATTTTCTTAGTATATTTTAAAATTAATGCGAAAAAAGTTTCCCACTAATAGAAGATAAGATGGATTTGGGTACCACTCAATATTATGAAGCTAAAACACTTACTCTTTCGGAAATATTGAACCTGTAGCACCATGAGAGTTGAACACCTACGCATGGTGAATTGTAGCAGTTCCTGTCTCGGGTACTGGCCTGTTTTTTTTCCATCTAAATTGAGTCGCTAGATCTAAGTCAGTTACCAGAAACTGCTTTAATATTGGCTGATATTTGTTATTTTGGATGCGGTTTTTCGCTGCCCATAAACATTTGTTTATTTGCAACCCTTTTTGTAATTTGCATTAGTTCTATAAGTTCCACTCATTTTTCGAGAATAATCTCAACTAGCTGTTGTTGTTGTAGGTGATCATTCGCACTCTCAATCAAAATTAAGTGCATTTGAGCGATCTGCTTTAGATAATAGAAACAAAAGTAAATCACTTATTGTTTTACTATTCCTCCAGTGGATGAATTCTCTGCACTTTGCTCATTATTGTTTTTACCTTCATGACCGTCTAGGCTCATATTCTGTTTTGGTTTAAGGTTTAGATTTAGGTACGGAAATTCTGCAGCCGTTTTTGTCGTTTTCAGGACTTTTTTGCCTTCTAAATAGTAGCGACTCGCACACATCCGCCGGGCCTTCCTTGTAAAAAAAGATTAGTCATATTGCAGAAAACAGATGATCTTTATTATATCATGACCTACATATGGATTCACCTTTTCAAAAGTCGGGGTTTTAATTTGTGGTCGCATGCTAGGCTGAGAAACAAGGTAAGTAGAAGTCGTTGCAGGAGGATAAAAGCGCGGGCTTTACAATGGTTAACTGAGTAGTGTTCTTTTGAATGGTTTCAAGTCCTTATCCTTACAGCGGTATGGAACGATAGTTTTGCTTTAAACCTTTACACCGAGCGGGAAGCATTCCTTCTTCCCTTTTTAGTTGTAATTTGAAAACTCAAATTGGTTTTCATAAATTTGGCGTCGGGTTTTACCCGATCCCTTGAACCTTCGATTGCCTCTAAACGGCAGGCCTCTTGCCTAGATTTTTGTACTAACTCAAATTGTAATTAGCTCTGACGGTGAAACCTTGCCGTAAATGTGATGACATCTCAAAAATCGTACCAGACATTTCCTTTTTTTAGTTTACCGGCACACTGGGTAATTTTGCTAGTAGGTAGTCGTGCAAATGTATCCATGTGCTAATTAGTAAAAGGGACTTTTTTCGGGTTTCTGAATTAACACTACCTTTTACATTCAGGTGCGGCGCCTTTTTAATATGGATATTTAATATAACTTCGTCATGAATATTTTGATGAGTTGCGGTATGAATTTCTCCGCAGGGCAATGAAGAATCTTCCTACATTGCAACTGTGCACACCGGACAAGTTTTTTTTTTTCAAATTTTTCATGTCCATAAGGCGGTTAAATGGATAGGACGAATTAGGAACAACCAATCCTGGAAGTCGCAGTCAATCTATTAGCATTATATCGAAAAGATACTAATCTGAAGCCATGATACGCACATTGTCGAGTCAGTGTGGGGAAATTCGCTCTCCCATTCTTTTGTTTTTGGTGAAATTACTGGAGAGTGGCGAAACTCTAACTATTCATTATTATTAAAACATTACTTTACTTGGTTCTATGTGCTAATACAACCAATTTTTTTGAATATGGGCCTATCCACTATGTATTTTAGCTCACATTTTATTAATGTTCTTCTAACTGTTGTAGTTAATAGGGAACGGCTGCACCATTAACTAACCAATAGTATTAGGTAAAAATTCGATATTTTAATCCTAATAATTCTTTGTGAATTATTAGCTTACTGGACTGCAAATTCCCCACGCCAGGCTCATTTTTTTCTGCTATGAGGCAGGTGGGCACGACCTAATAGTTAGACGTTATCAAAAGTTGTAACTTTCGTGAAAACTCATCCATGGATCTTGTGTAAATAGAGGCAAGGGTCGGGAGTTCATGTGGCAACCAGTACTCGGCCTTGGGCATCATGTGTACGAAGTGGGGTGCGTTGCTTGGGTACCCACAAAAAGTCCACGCTCTGGCGTGCAATCGAGGTGTCTAGTTCAAGGGCGCAGACGTGCACCGTCTGTTGCCTCGCATTTTTGTCCGATTTGCACTGTGACAAGAGCAATGAGCGGGTCAAGGCCAACTAGCAACAGTGCACGATCGAGCATAAGATCGTTTAGCAATGGTTTTGCGGAGTTACTTTTTTGGTTTTTGGCCTTATTGAAGTTAAGTATATTCAGATGTTCTGATTAAAATGCTCTCATATACGTGTAGTCACTACGATTTGTAGAGGCACAGTATTCTTTAGTCTTTTTTTGGATATATGCCGGTGCTATTTAAAGTCACCAAATGGCATCCTGATTAAAAATGGGACTTCTCGCCATAAGATTAAATTTTTAGCAAAAATACTTTAGGTATTTTATCCTAAATCGTAAACTGAGATAACAGTTTTATTTTCTAACTCAAAGGTGTACCTTTTTTGCAAATCACACTGAAGTCAATTTCATATTCTAAATTTGATAGGGGCAATATATTTAGCGTGTAAAATGGTGTATTTTTAGAGGAAACATTTCCCTTATCCATAGTAAAATAAAGCACGCTAGGTAATTCTGGGCTCGTTATGCCCCAGTGGGAAATCCCACAATTTTGTAAAGATTTCACAATTCACAGTATTGCCGATGCCATTATCGAATATTATTCTTAAACTTCTAATTTTTAACATTTACCACTTTAATAAGATTTTGGTCTACGAGCGTCACAAATGTTTACGATTCGCGGTGCTCTATTTCACTTGAATTTGGTCTTTTGGTGTCTTTGGTTCATGAAAGTCTACTTACCTTGCATCCATTACCAGCGCAAATAAGTGGGAATCCATTTGATTTGATATTCTTATAAGAACTTTTAAAAGCGTAGGTACAACTTGTGATTGGAGTTTATTCATATAATTTCATCACGTTACCACGATGCCTCTTCCATTGCACTAGTCTTCTGACAAGCTTTTCTTCAAATCTTCATTTGTGGTTTAAACTGTGCTCTCTCTTAAGAACTCTAGAATTTGAGGGGATTATAGCTGATGGTTTCTTTGAGTTGCAAGTTCACAAGTTTATGTTGGTTCAACTCCCTTCAACACTCAATAGTACTTGCCTTCTTCAGTCTATAAATTAACACTTTGTTAGTAGGCGAAGTCATGCCTATCTCCCACAGTGACTGCCTATATTTATAATCAAATTCCTTCCTACTGTCAGCTAATAGCGCAAACTTTTTTTCACGGTTTTTTGAACGATTTGTTTGTCATTTTTTAGCCACAGTGCTTTTTTAATGCTAGGCACTATTGCTTCTTGGTCCAAGTGCACTAATCAGCACTTTTATTTAATGGTTGTGACTCCAAATCGAATGGTCACGATAGGGCTCAATAACTCTCATTCAGTCCTAGATACGTGCCACGGATACAACTTATTTTCATTTTCGGAGTGCTGGCAACCATTGGCAGAAGCACAACTCTGCGCATTTGCTAGATCAGTCACTGTATTACCTTCGTTTGCTTATTTTACGCCACAGAGTGGGATTGGCATCAGTTCTCACTCGCGCACCGACGCGTCCTTGCAGCTCTCAAGCTCGGTGCCGATCCGCTTCCAGTTTCGCAGTGTCTCCACCACCACACCGCCATCAACGTCGGCGATGACGGGCGCGGGTCAGGCAGGTACACGGGGTCGTCGGTACCAGCGCAGCGTGAGTTGCAAGTTTCCCTGCACTTATAAGCGACTGCCCTACCCTCCGGACACCTCCAATCTTCCGCCACCCTGTGTGCGAGCATTCTCCCTTGATTTTCACGCCGAATTTGACGAGGCCTCGGGCGTCGTCTATGGAAGCGGCGGCGCACTCTTCGCTACCATCGTTCGTGTCCTCTCCCAACTCAAGTGTCTCCGTGCTCTCTATCTTCGCAACCTCTTTCTCTCCCAGTCCGACGCTCGCCAACTTCTAATCGAGGTCTCCACCGTACGTCGCCTCTTTCTTTTTTCGTCTCATGCGGTGGTATCGCAATGAATTGCTTGCAAATATAGGAACCCTTAGTCGTATTTTCTTACATTTTCACTACCTTTTACTCTTTTGATCAAACATGTTCGGTATAGCTTTACTAAGATCAATTTGAGACTAGTTCGAATGTTTGCTGCTTTTCTTTTTGTGATCTGAAAAGGATGACTATGATTCTGTAGTACCATAACATTTTTGATAGCGATACTTTTTCTTGGGACAATAGCGTAGCGGAAAGATGGCTCCAACTTCGACTCATCTCCTGTGCTTCAACTACTATCATCTTTCGATATGGAAGCCTGATATTGACGGCTTATTTCAAGTTATTTGAGACAACTTACTGTGGTTTTCGTTGTTCACTCTTAATAGTCTTTAAATCCTAACATTTATAAATACAGATCGTTTTGCTAACATCATGCACTGGTTTCTTTTATCGTAAATGGCAAAACCCACTTTTCCACATTAGCACTAATAATCGTGGATATGAAAAATGGCTCTGCACTCTAAATCTAGCTTAAGTCTATCAGGTAAAGAGACGCCTCGTTGGTGATGATGTTACTTTTTTAATGACCTTATTTGCAGTAGTTTTGTCATTTTTCCCCTCTACCTCCAGTTTTATATCCCTGTATTGGAAGAATTGGCTTTTGGAAGGCATTATATAGTGTTGAAACGTGAAATTATTACAATGATCTGAGTTTAATGGGTACTAGATATTTGTCCCCTTGGGGATTGATAGACTTCTCTAGGTCCCGAGGTTTGTCCAATCCGACCACTTGCTGCCTAGAAATGTATCCAAACGAACATGTTGTATATATTTTTCAAAGCATGAATAGGGTGACTTTTCATTCTACGTTACCCATTTGCATCCTCTGGGAACAAGCCGTAGTTGTGTAGAATTAACAAATAATCCTGAATGCAGGTTTTGACTTCGGCACTAATATTCGCGTCGTGCGATGGCATAGTAGTCTACGATATCTGAAACAGTCTGCAATCTTGTTGGTGGGTCTGTTGTCTTGAAGCTGAGATATACTACAAGTCTTAAAACTATCTTTCCTCCTCTGTGGCCTCATGCTGTCATACGAGGTAGTGGTTTTCACAGTTTTGTCTTAACTTTCTACAGCTGAAAGAACAATTGTATTCTTTTGACGCCCTTCTTCAAACACCCACGAATCTCTACATTTTCTTGTGAAATTTTTTTTATTATTGACGGGTCTGATCAACAGCGGAAACTGTCTTTCTGTCGTCCTAACATATTTTGATCAATGGCTACAAATTCATTCCAAATTATTTCCTGTTCACATTTGAGTAAGGCGTAGTCATAACGTTGGAGCACCAACAAATCATGATTACGTTCTATTTTTTTTCCTGATATGGCAAAGCGGAAATATTATTGAATAACTTAGTTTACAAACTTTTATGCCTATTTTTCCTTTTTTTCAAAATTCCGGAAATAAATCATGATACTTTATTCATTTTCAGCAAGACATAGGTGTTTGCGGGGTGCATAGTTGCTTTACAAGTTCGTACTTTTGCTTCCACCCTCATAACTGGTATGGAGGATTGTTTCATCGCGCTAAATTGATTAAACACCAATAATTCTAAACTGTACGTGGCTTAAAATATAATTAAGTTGAATGAGTAAACGTACAAATGTCCATGAAAAATAAGTACACATGTTTCTTCAACTTTCCATGCAGATGCAAAACTCATAAGTGGAGCTGACGCAAGGAATACCGAATGAGTTCCTCTGCCTTGCCCTTTCACAGGTCGCCGGTCCCACATTGGAGAGGGCCAGTCTCTTGCACGTATGCAAAATCACTCATGAGCGTCCGGCGCAAGAAACAACCAGTCAGAGCGAAGTCCCCATTCAAGGCCGCTTCGATCTTGCCTCGACCACGGCTGCCGACACCTCCCACGACGATGATCGATATTGGTATCTGCGTGACCCACGATGGTTAGGTGCGAGGCCCCGTCTGCTGGGCTGGAATCCGCTGGCCGACCTTTTCGCCCTCTTTCCCAACCTCAGCCGCCTGGAGATCGCCCTGACTCAACTCACTGGACCCATGCTCCTACGTCTCATCTACCAGACACAACTCTCCGTACTCATATTGACTCAGGTGAGGACTCGTTTCTGACCTCTTCACGGTGTAAGGCATTAGCAATTCCCGCTTTCATTATCGTAAAAAACTTGACAGCTGGGTAGGGTGTTTGCATCTAGCGTCTTTTAGACAGTTATTTGCTTTGTCTGTGAAGGTCACAAATGCCAATAAGAGTGGTTTGCCATCGTCCCTTGTTCATAACATTGGACAGGTGGATATGAGCATTGCAAATCCCACAGGATTACGTCTTGAATATGTATTTTTCTTCTTTAACAAAATTCAGTCATTTTGCATGCTGCTGATTGAAATTTCGACTCTTTAGGCCACACCATCATGTGCCCATCATTGTTAGATATATTGACCGGGTTTGAAGGATAAAAAACAAATTTTAACGGATGTGATCCATGGTTTTACAATTGTAATAGCTGATCTGCTAAGGGTGGGACTATCCATGGACAATTCGCAACAATTGGTCTATTTAATTTTGTTCTAGAAAGCTGATAATTTTGCGGCCTTAGATGGACTAATACCAGAACTGAAAATAAGTTTGTGATAGGCAGTTTGCATTTGACAAACATTAAATTATGTAATGTAAGAGCATAGCATGACTTGTGAAAACAAATATACTGCATGGCAATACCAAAAGAGTAAGGAAGGCAAGACTGCAGAAATCTTTTCACATGCATGCAAGAACTGTTTTCATTTTAGAATTGTCCATGCTATTTTTCTCCTCTCGTGTTTAACGCATGGCATGTCTTTCCCATTTCAGCTTGCATGATCGGGTGAGTACCTGTGCTTCATATTTTCATCTTCTGCACGTTGTGTATTGTTTCATTTTCCTGTCGACTTTCTCCAATAAAACAATACAAATGGCGTTTCCTTTCATACTGGCATTTATAAATTGGCATTAGTTCATCTATCAGATTGTATGCCTTTCTGTTAATCTTGATAATGTTTTTTTTTATCCAGTGATCATTGTTAATTAAACACCAATCTACTTCTACGAGATGTTGAGGGAATCTCCTTTTTGTTTTCTTGAGTCCATTGGAACCTGAATTTGTGCTGCTAGTTTCCAGTACAGTGCTTTGGTAACATGGGGCAAACCTTGCTGTTTAAACAACAAACGAGGGTGAATCTCAAAGTTCTTTTGCAGAACTCTAGCATTTTTCCAATGACCTCCTTATCAACGCAGGACGCAGCATTCCGAGCTCGCTTTGAACTTGGCATGCGCGCCACTTTTTGACCTTAGGAACAGTCTACACTGCCGTTAGAAAGGTCACGTCACTGCCTAATGCCTGCAGCAATCCATACTTTGCATGGTCAGTCATGTAAATAACCTCTCAAAATGATTGTGTGGAGTACCCACACCCGTATACTGTGGGGTGAAGAGGGCATACATTCATGTGTGTTGCATACGTTATCGCTTGCGCTTTAGGCAATTGGGTTGCAAATTTGTATTTGATATCTTTGCCTTAGTTCCTTGGACATATTGCCATGGCGTCAGTGGAACGCTTACTAAACTGAAAGCTATAGAAGCGTAGAAAAGTTATGCGAACTGCTAGCGTATTAACGATGTAGGAAGTGCAGAAAAGTTTATTGTGATGATTTTTGGGGCAAGGATATTGAAAGCCTACTATGCCATTGAATTCAATTGATCTAAGCAATGATTAATGCATAGGATAGTTTCTGGTGCCTTTATTTCCAGTCACAATAATTTTAATAGTGCAAAATGAGGGCAGAATCTACAATTACTGCGTGTCTTACGATTTCACGGATGCAAGTAAAATCTATGTTAACAGTGTCCTTTGATTTAAATACAGACGGATTTATCACCACGTTGGATGGAATACATCCACGGGGAGGGGTTGGTGACACTACAGAGCGTGGAGGGGAGCCACAGTGGCATGGAAGTGAGAACAAAGCATACCACCGATGAATACTACGTTGATTGGGGCGCGGACGTGCCAATAGCGCGTCATGGCGCGCCGCCGGAGCATCGTAGCGCGACGCTTGGCGGCACTGCCGACTTCTGGCGGCCCGTAGCGTCCGAATTCTGGCACCAGGCGGTATGCATGCGGCCCACACTGCGCGTCCACGTGCGCCTCCGCTTCCTGTACTCCCGCGCCTCATCTGACCTCTGCGTTCTCGCTCTCCCCGCTCTTCCTGCGCCTCTTGTTTCCATCGTCTGTGTCTTCGGATCCGGAGACCAGACTGCCACCTACAGGCTCTTTGAACGCTCCATCCCTTCCATCACTCAGTACGCCAGTACCCTCACTGACATTGTCCTTCTTACCGAGGTAGTTATTTCCAACTTAAATGCTATCAGTAGGGGGAGTTAATTCAGTGACAAGCAGAGTTGTGTCTTTCAGTTGGACCTGGGAGCAGTGGAGACCGAGGAGAGGGAGAAGGAGCAGATGGCTCGTCTAAGTGGAAGGCGTCTTTGCTTCAGTTATCAAAGCCGTCAAAAAGGGCCTCAAATCACCTCGACGCAGGACATTTTGCCACAGCCACTGGACGATCAGTTACTGCGCCTTCTCTCTGCATGTCCAAATGTCTCCTCTCTGAGCATTGGCGGACGACTCCTCAACATTCATCTTACCACGGCCAGCCAAATCTGCCGACTCCTCGTGAAGGCGGCTCGTGCCAGGCCGAGGAGCGGTGGGCATGCGCAGAAACCCCCTCCTCCGGTGTTGCACTTCGACGTGGGCTCGATACGCCTTAGCGGACCCATCCCGCAGTCCGCGACTGAGCGCGACTCCAGTGTATTTCTCGAGCTGATGCGCGACTGTCGGGGCAAGGAGGTGGAATTACTTGTAGCGAAGGAGCGCGCTGCAGAATGTCTAATTGCTGCCGCCCTCGGCAGTCCGCGGTGGCACTTCATGCAGACCGATGAGTTTCGACGTCATGTTTTAAACTATGCTGCTGTCTAGCTTTGCGTATGCACAAACTTGCACCCTCGCACACGCACATACTCATGTCCACTTGCTTACTTTCTTTTCATACCAGTTCATTAACACCTCCATCAATATCTTTGCTTTTGTTTGTCACCGTTTTTGATGACCCTATGATATATTCATTGATGATGTGCATATGTTGAGCTTGAATTTTTCGTCGAGTAGTTACTTCACCCACAAGTTAGCGATTCAGTGGCAAAAATTGTTACCGTAGAATAGGGGTTGGCCTATGGAAATAGTCAGGTTGTCAGATTCTGTTAAGACTGAATAGACGTTGGAATAATTGGGTTTTCTTCATTAAGCACAAACGGCTGTAATAACTGTGGGTATGGGTATCCGTACGATGTCCAGAACATTTAATCTCGGCAGATAATTGGTAGATATGTAAACTCCACTGAGTAGTTATGAATGCTGAAGTAGTTCACCACTGTGGCCGAATAGTCTGGAGCAATAACAGCTCGTACAATGCTTAAATATGTGTCGAAGTCTCGAATGAAGAAATGAGGTGTGTGGTATGGTATGGTCCCATATCACTTCCAGTACATCGTTTCATTTGAAGATTTGTTTTCTGAAAAAGCGTTGGATTTACAAAGAAAAGGTTTCTCAGCATGTTGTGGTGCTTTAGTTTTTCGTGTAGCTATGCATCTAGCTACGCGGGCAACTTAGTCTACTCAGGTTGTGCTTCCACTGTGGCATGGTCTTTGGGACATGCTAATGTCCTCCTACCTCCTTTGTAATGTGTTTTTATTATGTATTAGTAATACTTGTTCTTCTTTTACTACTCTTGCCTGTTACAACCGCATTGAAAACTTGGAACGCCCTATTGTTGGTACAGTAGAATCTGATCCACCAGCACACTTCTGATTTCAGTGACTGAATGCAAAACCTTAACTTCACAGAAGGGCATCTGTTGAGGATAAGCGAGTCCTTTAATAATCCTAATAAATAAGTTTAAAGTGAGAACTGGCTTTGATAATTACCCCAACCGCGCATGCTGCAGGAAGACTACAAATAACTGTAGCCACGCTAGACCAACCATTTGAAAAGCCTAGTATGCACCTGTTCACGGTTCCCATTTGAAGATGCTAATCAAGTGAGCAAGCGATGTCGCCTCCACATTCCTACTGCCTGAAAGGAGACCAGATAATTGGGTGGACAGCATTAACATGAGAACAAAGTGATAAAGAGAAATAGATTCGAAACAATTGTCTCGCAAAGCCACTTTAAATCACGCATCTTGTTGCACTACTTTGCCATTAGGCTAGTCCAGTGCACGAGTTGCCTTTGTTGTGGAGCATCATCCAGGCTTGAGCGACACGAATTCAGAGCACTTCCTCTCCCCAAAATGGTTCAAAATGGGACACAACTAGAGATACGATGGATTTGCACAGAGGCATCGGTGACGTTGGTGTTAAACGCCTTCGTGCATGTAAGGAAGGTAAATAAGCAGTTTCTGATTCGGGGGGTTTTTATTAAGCCCAAATCACATTCCGGCGTTTGACGCTGAAGAATGGCCAAGGAAAGCGTCGAGGATGACCCTCAAAAGAAGTAGAGAGTTTCCAGTGGCTTGATATTTTACTCAATCTTCTGCCGAGATATACGAAAACAGCACTATTTGCAGATTTAATATCCATTCTGCGGCGTGGCCTTCAGCATGCTAACGGTTTCCCGGCACTTATGCAGGCTGGTCATGTGTTTTCCACTTCTTCTTCTACTTATTACGACTTCTGGGAAGACATGGCGTGATGTAAAGCGTCCAAGACACTGCCACATCAAGGGGCTGTAGTTTGGGGTTTTTCGAGAAGAAAACTTTGTACGCTTAAAGAACTGATGGGAGTTGAGAATCCTCGGACGATAACTGGTCCTAAGGCAGCCAAATAGTACTCACACTGAAATTGTAAATGACTAAAAGATAACTGATAATCCAATTTGATTAAAATAAATTATTAAAACAAAATGAACTGTGGTGAATACGCGTCCCACTTTTAAGGCTACAACTTCAGGTATACATAGAGAAGGCTTACACTATAGGTGCTCCATTAGGCACTATAATTTTCTTGATAAAAAGGTCAAATCATCATTTAACACTTTTTTCAATGAAAATAATCCCCAAAAAATTCGACCTTGAAACCTATGTGACCTTGAGGCCTTTGTCAATTTACCGTACAAGAGTTGGGTTTTCGGCCCCTTACTCTGGCCTTTAGCCTGCTAACGTGGACTGGTAGTGATGGCCATTTTCTGTCGTTCTTCTCAAAATGAATGCAGTAAACACGGTTAATTATGAACCAATTGAGAACTACTTTGACAAATTTTGCGTGTCCACAACCTTTGAAGGAATTGTTACAGCCTTCGAAAGGCTGTGTGATGCGGCGAATTTAGGGAGCCTACCAGGCAGTGGTCAATTCTACAAGGAGTTGCGTCGAAGACTTTCTTTTTACTGGAAGGCGGAAGCTCTTTTTACGATCTTAGATGTCCGCTTTGGTGAAAGGATATATGGAGGCCAAACTATTTGCCGTAATATTCAGGTAACCATCGTAAAACGGTAAACTTAATGAATGCCTTAAATTAAAAGTCGAAAACTACAATTATTTTAAGTGCTTAAATGCACATGTGCCTGCAATTCAGTGTTTCTAAATGGCCGTCAGTACAATGGGCGCTCAAATATCTTTGGCATAATGGTGTATATAACCATTATTTCACTTCACTTTCGATGTCCAATATTTCTTAGGCCGCTTTATATTATTTTTCGAGTCTCATTTGTAAATATAGTTTAATCTCTACTTTCTTCTTGACGCAGCTTATAACGTTAGAATCTTTTTTGAAGGTTCTTGTCGTCGGCTGTGGTCCCTGCGGATTGCGTTGCGCTATAGAACTAGCGCTCTTAGGAGCAAATGTAGTGATTATCGATAAAAGAACATCTTTCTCAAGGTAAGCGAACGAATACTTTATTTAGCGTCTACATTTAAATTAATTTTTCGATATTTTTGCCTTCCTTAATTAACAAATGTATCTACTCAATCACTAATGTCTTTTTCACTTGAAAGTTAGATAGACTTGCCAAATCTGAAGCGAGTGTTAATGAACCACTTAATTATTGGTAGCGCAAGACGAGATTGGCGAAACTTTCGTTTTATTATGTTTGAGATTACGAATAAGTCGAGAAATGAATTCTCAGCACAGGCATTTTTTATATTGGCTTTTCCTTTGAAAAAAGTTGAACTGGCTATTCACTAAAGGTTGATAATCTTGATCTGTTAGGTTTATTTCATATTGCAGAGTTTTGGTTATAAAGTCGGGAAACGTGGCCGTTCAAGTTGACTGGTTTTATGGTGGAGTACTTCATTCACCAGTTTATGCGTGCTCTCTACGCACGTTCCAAGATTTAACTGTCAAAATACACGAAAACTTGAGTCAAATTATGTATCCTTTCTGCCATTTCTATAACTGATAATCATGCGTAGTGAATTGGATATCGGATATCGCTTTATGTTGGTGCGAACGATTCTTTTTGAGCACAATTGTCCTGACTGCAAAACTTTTCATTTAAATGTTTCTACAACCTCATGAGCTTAGGATAGGCAGAATAACAGGCACTTATTATTGCATTGCCTTTATCGAGTATCCAACTTTTGTCGTGTCTTCGCTGACCTCTCGCGACTCATGTCAATGACAATGCGTTTTTTAGATTTCTCGTATTTGAACTATCACCACGCTTCATTGTGTGTAAATTGGCCGTATTGGCTCGTCATGGGCGGGAATTGTTTTTTCAGTTATCTCACCAATTAATGAAATAAACTGTAGGAATTAGGTCTCCTCTTTGTACACGGATTCGAAGCCGCGACCGAGGATGCCTTTCACACTTCGTCGCTTTTAACGGGGTCCCTATTTTTTTCGTCTGAGGTTCAAGACTTCTGGGACCTTTCAAGACTCAAAATGTTTACTTTCATTTACATTCCATTCCAAAAGGGTGATCGTTTGTCAATCGTGAAGGTGATTTTCTTTTGCATATTAATTCACGTAACCTTGATGGCCGCGTGCAACCTCACTACTTTGCTAATGCGAAAGGAGCTAGCTTTCGTCGCGTAACGGTCGAATATCCTGGTTTTATAATGCATGAGCCTTCATTAAACCGTGCTAGAAGAATTGAAGGCTTCGCAGGTTCTCAAACGATAAATTTTATTTTCTGTAAATGATTTACATAAAGACATCAGAATTGAGGTGAAGGGTTTATGGAAAGACGAATGAGGGGTCCATTTCATTCCTAAGGAACAATGTACTCCACCTCTGGCCCTACCTGATAAGTGACTTGAAGTCCCTGGGAGCAAAGTCGTTTTTCGGGAAGTTCTGCGCTGGCTCAATCGACCATATAAGTAAGTTGTATGCTTTCTCATTTCCTTCTCTCATCAAGTTTCTTCTTCCAATCCGTTTTTAGGCTTATACATAACTGTCCTACGGTGTAATCATGGACACTTTATTTGACTTGAATTCCATTAGTGTATTCTAGTAGCCTGACCGTGTAGGAAGTCCTACCTTAACTAGTTTTATATCCTATTTTGAATCATGCCCATTTGACTCAGAAAAAGTTGGTTGTGGATTTATAAAATCCGTTTCGGACCCTTAAATTACTTCGCTTTTGCTATTTCTTACTTTTAGTAAATTCCTGTTATTTCTTTTCAATTTAGGGCAAAGGTTTACGCTATTAATGCTAGTTGTATTTTATCGTACTTCTCTGCTAACACAACTAATGAATAATTTTTATGCAGTTATATCAGTCGTAACAATAAGGGTTTTTCATTCCCTTTTCCAACGTGAAGTGTTGGATCAAAGTCTTCGCTCTTACAGAGGAAGTACCCCCTTTTCTACCAACTCTGTGTGTGTGTGCTATTGCAGCATAAATAACAGCCTTTTCTCATTTCGATGATATCAAATGCACTTATGCTGAGGGGAAAATCTTAGCCTTGGTATGCTTACGCCTAAGAACATAAGACAGACGTGTTTTATGGCACTTTTTCCTTTAGGTATCCGTACGCTGCAATGCATTCTTCTTAAAGTGGCCCTCCTCTTCGGTGTTCAAGTTGTCTCCGGCGTTGAATTCCACAAGCTCATTCAACCCTCGGGTAATGGCTTTACATTCACTTTAATCTCACCTCCTCGGCTCAAAATTTGCGTGTAGCGTCCATTTGTGGCGTTTTCTTTGAAGGAAACCTGGCTCCTTTTCTATCCAATCTCCAAGCCACACTATGTCTAATCCCAATCCATTCTTATCTTCCAACTGGGGGAGCAAATGTCTATTTTACGTTGCCATCAAAATTGTTTTATCCTGCTTACAGTTATCAAATAAGTAATTTATTTCATGCGTAATAATGACAGTACTCTTTGAAATTATCTTGAAGTTCCACATAAGTTTTTTGTTCGCTATTATTTCGTTTCGCCTATCATTTTAATCATTTTGCGCCTTCCTTGTCCGTCTTTGCACGGGACCCGAGATATTCCGAATGTGAATCTCGATTCCTGGAACTTGAATACTCTCCTAGCAGTTTTGCTGTCTGATGCTTCCCAGCCCAATAGCAGTCGAAATGATTGAAGCATTGAATCCACTTCTGAGTTTAGTGTAGACTAGCTAAAGTTTTGACCATTCGCAATGTTTGTATCAGAGGAATCGCGCTTTCTTTACATAATGATTTCGAAACAAAACTTTTTTTTTTGGTCTTTAGATCAAGTAAACTCTTTCTGATTCCATTAAGCTAGTTTTCATACTCAGTTGTCATCTGTTCAACCTTTGGTTCCTTGGAGCGCTGCTGAAGTTTGATATAAGCAAACAAGTAGCTTAGGTTGAGTTCACACCTTCTACGAATTCATTCCGTTTGTACCTATTTTATCATTTCAGGTGCCTATCTAGAAGATTTGAGTTATTCGGTTTTGCAAGTTGGTAGTGAATGAACTGATTAAAGCCTTCAAGACTTGTACCGCTAGGATAAAGCCATTTAGGTAGTCTATATGACCCCTTTGTAGCTCATACATTCGTACAATCTAAGAAGCTAAAATGGTTGGTTTTCAGTTGGATTGCATGATTCATGCGTAATTATTTAGGGCATTCCCGATATACATTGCCATCTCCTCCTCCCGCTCTGGCCAGTTTACTCGGACCTCAATACTCATCGGAGGTGGTGTATAGTAGACTATGTGCTCTAAGTTCCCTTATTGCTTCCCCTTTTCATGGAGACGACACCGAGGAGTCTGATGTCTGCAGTGGCGAAAATGGGTCAAAGACGCCAAGATGCAGAGGCGAGCGTCCCCTGAGGGATCTCTTTACTCTCTACGAGGGCAAGCGGCGGGCGCGTTACGGCTGGAGGGTGGAGGTGGCGCCTAGCCACGAGGCTCTATCCACCTTTGAGTTCAACGCTATCATCGATGCCACCGGCAAATCCAGTTGCTGTCTCAGTACGTCTCTCTTTTCTATCCCTTTGCCTTGCTCCGCGTTTTTCTTTTTGTGTTAGTTATCTTGTAATGTCATGTTATTCCCTATACCAAAAAAAACTCGTTGGACTACGTATTGAAGGGTTACATGCTTTATCTATTATTTCTTGTGTACTTTTTGTGTTTTTGGAGCGACAATGTGCTTGTGCGCAGAAGCTTCCGCTGTATTGGATGTTTCTTGCCTATATTTATACTTTAAAATAGCTTAACAGTGATGTCGTCAGAGTGGCATTTTTGGGGCGTCAACTGCGTAATTGAAGTCCATATACACCTCCCACTCTCTAAATTTTTTATGTGGTGGCATATTTAAAGGTCTCTCTGCTGGTAATGTTTTGCGTTCCTTTCAGTTATTGTATTTCGCTACTTGCCCTAGTAATGTTCAAATTCCTAAGCTCCTCACGGAAAGGGTACCGAGATGATGTGACAAATTTGCGTTACAGCGAGGAAGTTTCCATTCCCAAATTTTGTTGAAATCACTTACCATATGCTTTGTTGGGAGCTGGGACTAAACACTGGGCAACGTTTTATGGCAGGTTTATCTGATATCAATCGTGTTTTGCAGGAGGCCTTTGTCCAAGGGTGAAACCTATCTCAATGGCTTGTTTCATTAAGGTGCCTTGTTAGCTTTTTCATTCTGGCTACCTCCCTCTCCGCCATCCCTTTTTTAAAGCCACCGTTTTAATGAAAACATTGCAGAGAGATGTTTTTTTTTCCCAACATTGCCACTGATATGGCTAACCGAAGGCAATGTTAGGTCACTGGCCAGAAATAACCGTGATGGGATGATGTCGAAGGACTGGAGACTGAAAATTTGGTCAGTGCTGCAGACATCTTGTGTGGTAGCCTTAATGCAGTTGTAGACTAAACATATCGCATGGTAACGTGCAACGCGAAATGGCATTTAGTGCATTTCATGCATGGTCATTTATTGTGTATTAGCTCGAAAAAGTAACCAGAACGTGGGCTCTTTTTGAAACAGCAGAAAGTTTGATCGTACGTGATGCGTACTATTGGGATTTTATCCCATAGTCCTATCTTACATACTACAATACGTTTAAATAGGTGAATACACGTAGTTAGTAGTAATTAATCGTTCACGGCTCGTTAGTGTCCATCCTCAATAGATGTGAGTTGTTTTTGCCTCTAACTATGGAATACGATCCCACTTGGCGCGTGGTTCACTCCATTGGCCTTCCCAGAGGTCGTTACCGCCATTACTTCCGGCCAGCAGCACGGATTAATTTACTGAGTCAGTGTTGGGAAGTTTATGGCTTACTCTGCTTGTACAAAAGGCATCAGTACTAGCAACTGAAATGTAACTTCACCTTGAATTTGTACGTTGTTTCTATACAACGCTGTGACCCTTTTAGAGGAAGCCGTCGTTAGTCTAATTTGCAAGTGTGTATCACCGTCGCGTTCGGGTGTCCAGACTTCTGTGGGATGTTTATGGGGGCATACTTTGCCGGTGTGTGGGTATGTATGTATGTATGAGTGTGTGGAGGCGCGTACCCCTGGCTGAGTCACCAGAGTCCGGCTCATAAATTTGAACGCTTAGTCGTGTCCCTGCGTGGGTGGGTGTGCGCATGTGCCTGTCCCGTTAGATTCCAGTTTCCGGTCTCACGCTTGAGACATTATTCGTGTCGGGCTCTTCCAAAACGCCTGAGAAATTCCGCATTTTCCTCCCTCATTTCTCGCGAGTGATTCATTTCATTGGAAGTCTTCTTCACCTGGTAACCTAGTGGCTGAAATTGTTGTATCGATATCTATTCTGTCTTGTCTAAAAATGCAATCCCTTTTTCGAGATAATGGAACGATTCGAATTCACAAATAGGCATGGTGGCTTTGTCTGATGATGATGGCTTGGTGGATGAGTCGTTAATTCCGGCCTGTTTTGAGGCCAAGCAAAAAGCGCTCTCTTGATATATTTTAGCGCGACTTACACGATTGTTCTCCTATTTTCAACTTCAAATAACCTCATTTTTTCCTCCAAAACGACCGTTTTAAATTAACGTTTTCTACCTGACGGTTATCTTGCTTTGACTCAGCTCTTCCTTATTGTCTAAGTCAATGTCACCGAAATTGTAAAAATTTAGGACTGGAGATTGTATGAACCCGGAGGGAGAGTTTTAGTTCAAGTTGTGCATATTTCTGGTTCACACTCTCCTTGTGTAAACCAAGATGAATCATCTCCCAGCACGGCACGGTCGTTTTATTGAATTCACCGAGGTAGGCGATTTAGTTTACTCTTTATTGTCAAATTAAACTCCAAAAAGTTACAGGTGTGATGATCTTTCAGTTTTGAGTTGTAGCTAGTGAACCGGAAAACCTTATGACTATTCTACCTATTTACAGTTGATAAAAAAAGGTGATGGGTGTCCTTGAGAAGAGAAAGGGATGACTTAATCATCCCCCAATTACGATGAATTGTTTTTTTTCTACCCAATAGACTTTCCACGCAGAGCTCTCCGCTGTCGTCTGGCCATCGCGATCACCATGAATTTTATCAACTACGGCTATGTGGAGGAGGCCCATGTGGAGGAGATTTCCGGTGTGGGCAGCATCTTCAATCAGCCCTACTTCGCACAGATCTCCAAAACGCTGGGCATTGAGCTGGAGAATTTGGTCTACTACAAAGACGAGACGCACTACATCGTCATGACGATTAAGAAGAGGTCTCTTCTTACCAAAGGCGTCTTAATTAAGGTGCGTTTCCTCACCACCTCCCCATTTTTCGCGCACACATGCTCCGTGCCCTTTTTGCCATTTTTCGGGAAACGTTAATCTGGTTCTGCTTCAGTAAGAGACTGTTTACGGATCTGTCCAATTGTGCTTTCAGTAGAGGTCGTATATCTAAATACGTTTTTCTTTAATATGAGAAATCCTTCACCTAGAAGGACATCATATAACAGTTTAATTGCTCACACTTTGGACCTGACACAAGGATTCTATGGTGTATGCAAGACAATGGGTGTATTTTATCGCCACAGATGTTCCTTATTTCTTTGATCCTGGTTGCAGTATTCTTGCCTATTTTAAGCCGCCTGATGATTTCCCAAGCAAGGGTGAATTTTTACATGTGAAGATTCAGTTAAAAGATAAAGTGTATTTCACTTCTAGTACTTTAAGATGTACTAGTACTAGTCCATCTCAGCATATAGTGCTTGTCCAAAACCCCCCTGTTCTTTACTTGTGAACTTTCATCCTACAATCGGTGTTTTCACAATAAAGGAAAGCTAAAAAAAATAATATGCATAAAATCCTGAAAGGGTGCAGAGGTATGTTTGAGTTCTCCATGTTGTTAGTGTCCCATAACCACTCCCTGATGACCTAACTACCACCAATAATTAATTTTCCTAATTGGATCGTTTGAGTTTTCTCCTCGTGATTCTTCCCGGTTCACATCAGTGACCACCCTCTGCACTGAAAGGTCCATCAACTGGTCATTTGCCTGTGTACTTTTGCATGTTTTCACACCGAATCAGTTCAAGAAACCACCCCAAATCTTCTTTTTAAAGTACTTATCATCTTAATTTATGCTTAAATTTTAAATCAACAATTCGTGTTCGGACAGCGACACTATCTGCGGCCCCTTAGTGGTAAAAAATGCCTTGTTTAGTCTTTGTGATGCGCACTTCTGGTAATCATTGGAATTTCGTCACCTGATACCGCTCCTACCATTACTTTTTTGCAGCATCTCCTAGATGATTTCCAAAATCTACGTTAGAGACTAGGGCTGGAACAGTCCTCCAAGTACTTGTTAGGTGTTTGGATCATTCACAATCTATTAACGATTGCTACCTCAATTTTGAAACATTTCCTTTTCCATGAAAGCCTTCTTTTTTAATGGTCACCACTGCTGGAAGCTGACTCATGCCATGGTAGCAAAAGCCATCATTGAAACACGAGTGTTCTTAACATGCCCTTTAGATGAGTGGCGCGGTTTCATCACTTAGTCACCTTGCGCAGAAGGCGTATTTCCAAGGTTCCACCTTGAGCACGTGAGGCATTTCTTTTTCCTATTGACACTATTTATAATCCTACGTAATCTAAATTTTTAATAAACTGACATCTTTTCCTTTCTGTTACTCGCCCGAACCCAATGCTGGAAATTGCGTCGACCTGCCGACTCTGTGGTTGTATTTATCGCTCACACTGCAAGGCAACCGTTGTTCACAAGGTCTGGGTTATAAGTTCCATTATTATTAATGATGGCAAGGTAGAGGTTATTTACAACCCACCGTTCAAGATCAACACCTTCGAATCAAATTATTGAAATTGGATGTATTCGGAATTAATTTGGAAGTCATTTATAGGTTTCGTTTCTATTCAGTGATCTTTTTTGTAATTGGTTGGTTACTGTTTTCGGCCAATTTTCTTATTAAAATATCTCAGAAGTACGGATATTTTTCAACAGATTTTCTCGTCGGGAAAAGTAGACTTGATGCTAACGTTTGCTTCTCTAGTAATGCACATAAAACAACTACTAATCCTTAGCACAGATTGTACTTGTCTAAGATGTATCATATTTGTGCAATTATTACTGAGATACTTTCAAATAGTCTTGATTAGGGAGCACGAATGGAAACTTGGTGAATTGAACCCACTAGCTTCTCAACTCCTCCACTGCTGCTATGAGCTTGTCAATAGCGGTATAAATTCCCGTCTTTCTTGTGCACTTAGGACCTGGAAGACCCGGTAAAGCTTTTGAGCGCAGAGAACGTAAACTTCTCCGCACTGGAGCAGTTGGCACGAGAGGTGGCGACTTTCGTAACTCGAGGTGGTCTGCGCCGCCTCGACTTTGCGTTGAACTCGCGCGGACAGCCCGACGTGGCGGTTTTTGATTTTACTAGCCTCAGCGCTGCCCAGTACGCCTGCCGAGTTGTCGATCGTAAGGGTCGTCCTCTCTGTCAATGTCTCGTTGGCGATGCTCTTCTTGAGGTAAGGATCCACCATTATCCCGTCCTCCTCTCTCCCACCACCCCCATTTATCCATCCAGGAGTATACTTTCTGTCGTAATCGTCATTGAGCTCTGCAGCGCTCCCCTCTTTCCGATGATGCTTTTATCACATCGTTGCTTAAGACTCCGAATTCGTGCGCGTACACAAATACTTGTTTAGAAGTTGGAATAGCTGTTTTTAAATGTTCAATCATGGTATCTGGCATTGGATTAAAAAAGGATCATTTTTAAATTATGCCCCACGTGGCAAGCAATCTTTACCCACAATCTAGAGTTAAAACCGCTTTTTCTGACACGGCTTCTTACAGGATCGAAGCCCTGAGATCTCCTGTCGCCCATTAATCTAGGCGGAGATCTGGCACGATGCCGACAGATCCCAGTCGCAAGCACCAGATTCCCCCCCCCCCCCCCCTACCGTTTTTGAACCCCCATATTCACTTTGGTCGGGTTTTATCCAACACCCACATAAGCACATAGACCTGGTGGTGTTTCACAATTTTAGTAGCACTATTTATTGCTACTGCTATGATCTGGGGTTTTTGTGAGTGGCCTGGAAACTACCAAGCTCCCAACCAGATCATTAACAACCAAAGGCTTTAGTATGGACGCCTTTATTGCTGACGTATTTCACCAAGCGCAGAAGAATGCAGCATGCGCATACGTACTTCGCGGCCAGTCAGCGAGAGCTGTCGGATCCAATCAGCGGTTTCAGTCACGCACCGATTGACCTTAGACTCTGATTGGTAGCAAACTTCAAGTGCGTCTATAGATGATCTCAATCAATTGGGTGGAAATGAGCGAAAGTGTGGCTTTTAGAATGTTCGGGAATTTTGCCATGACAATGTAATTTTCTTACTAATCGAATATGAATGTTTTACTGGAGATGTAGGCACTCCCAGCAGTTATCCACCCACAAATGAATGCTTGAAGAATAACAGCAGCAGCGTTCTTCCCTCCATCTGTTAATTTGGGGATTGTGGCCTCTGATCTCAATAGGAACTTTGAATTGGACCTCCTCAGGGATGAAAAGTTAGATCTATATTGCGGTAAACCCAACACTACAGTTCACTAAATGCATGCATAAATGCTTGTTCAAAAGCATAAAAACTTTAAACTAGTCTAATTAATAATCCCTCTAAGTGCTATTCCTTTCTCATGGCAAACCGTCTCTCCATATGTAGATAAATTTAACAGGATAGCAGTAGCTCTCGGTCGACTCCAAGACTAACCGATTTGACACCGACCTGCCACTTCCAGTCTAAATAAGTTACTTAAAACCCTCGAAGACGTTCACCTCTTGGTCATTTTCGATGTTTCTATAACATTAGATCTGGAGAACCCATTGAGGATGCCATATTTGTGCAAATCCAGGTGTGTTATACGTATGGCACAGTCGCGGTAACAACATGATCAGTGGCTGTGATCTTTCCTTTCCAGGGAGAGGTAGGTGCGAGGGTGAATCACAGTCGTTCAGCGAAATAGTAGTAAAATTTTTGTGGAGGAAAACCCAACTTCATAATTGGGAGAGCTAGCTAGTTAGTCTATCAGTATTACTAGTGAACATAGAGTTGCCACAGGAGGTTACCTATTGGGTCGGCAGTTTAAAGTTACCAAAAGAAAGAAGCAAATCCCTATGGTTAGCCATAATTATGAAGTGATTTCCCACCTAAAGCTGATGAGTATCTTTGAGGTGGAAAATGGATTAATCATGAGCATTAAATTATTCCCCAGGTAAGAGAAAAGTGTCGGTGCATTTACTGAGGCTTATTCGCAAGAAAAAATTCACTCACAACGTGGTAGCTGTAAATTTCCACCATGAACCATTTTAAAGATCACGAATTGAAAATCATCAGGGAGGGGTAAATAGCGGTGTTACATGGCCTGAGTAACTTATGTGTATGTACGTATGCGCACATATTCTGATTCTACCATTTCGTTGTTTTCCCCCGCAGTGAACCGAATGGCGAAAATGTAATCTGCAGGAGAGAGAAGTCAATACAGTTTGACCAATCATGATGTGATTAATCCGCTTCGCCAATCTACAGATTTTGTGGTTTTTATGAAGCGAAAATACGGAGCTATGGCGAATACTTTTCATTGTTTCATTAGGCGGGACTAATCATGAATAAAGTAGTGGGTCTTTACTCGACTCTCATGCTTCAGTCGGGAAAAGCGATATACCCTGAAATGTACCTGTTGGAACTTTAGGTCACTTTACCACTTTCTTTTCGATTCGTACTTTCAATACAATTTGCTTCGTGCTATATTTTTATCTACTACCTTTTCATACTTTTGACTCTATCACAATCTTGAATTCCAGCTAATCGGCATAGATGGGGGTTGCGCAGCAAACATTGTGAATCGCTGTCTAGTTTCGACTCAACTGTGGGATATGAAGGAGGCAGCTTTATTTACTCGGGTAATACGCGGTCAATCCCTATGGCCTTGCGTCTCGTTGCCATATCAACTCCATCGGCGTGCATGGGTGCTTTCACTCCCGTCTGAGCCCGAGGGCGTGGATACAGACCGGCTTTTTACAACTGTAAACAACGAATAGCAATATTCAACTAATCACTTCCGTAATAGGGGATTAAACAAATCCGGTTGTTTTAGTTCTCCTCGATCCCCTTTTTTGATAAATTGGTAGCTGGTGTTGGGTACAAGTTACAAACGAGGCAAGAGATTTAATTGGAGTTTACTACAAAAAATAATCATTTCGGCAACTGCAAATTGTTTTGAGATGCAGATAGTACATTTTAATATCGTCACTACAATTAAAACTTTGTATTTTTCTTGGATTTTTGTCATTCCATATTTCTTTTGATTTGTGGAAGTGCTTTTCTATTGTACTTTTGCAATTTACTTCTTACGCAAAACCTTCATATTTTCTCAACTAGTGAATGCTACGCCGGATTAGACTGTATGATTCTCATTTCAAACTGGAGGCATTTATTTCTACTTGAATCTGCAGCCTTGAGTTTTACTGGCGTTCCGTTTGCAGAAAATAGTTCAGCGCCGATATGATCAACAGTGAATTCTCCGAGTGAAAATGTATTGTCTTTGTAACTGCAATCCAAGAGACTAGTTTCCATGTTGACACAAATCACTTGATTTAGTCTGGTGTTCAACTGTTCGAAAAATCATAGGTCAGTTTAGCTTACCTCAAAAATTCGGTTCAGGCCAAAAGTGGGGGTAAAACCCTTATTTTAATGCACTTTTAATTGCATCGCGCTAGCTGCAAGTGGTTCAGAAAATTCGTCCTTTTCCAACCCCCTGGCAATATCAATCCAATTAATTTACGACAGGTCAGAAGCTTGGTAGGGGGAAGTCGAGCCTTCAAGGAGAGTGGATGGTGGGATTCTGTCAGCGAAGCTGCTCACAAGCCAACCAGTACCTAGTCAGAGCGGTTTACGGCCTCTTTCACCCTCCTTTGCTCCTAGCCCTTTTGGCCACGTGGGAGCGGGTGCGCGCTGGGCTTCCTTTCGGCTCTCGACGCCGCCTGGACAGTGAGTCTGTTCGCAGCCGGACACCATGCGCTGCGCGTCATCGCTTGGCGCGACTCTGTCTACCAACGCCTCAGCCAGACCAGCCCCTCTAATATGCCGCCAAACTTCGCCGCCTACTCCTTCCTTCCTACCGCTCGGTAAACCCACTTACATCTCCCCCCTTCATTGAAGTTGGTGGCTTTAGTTTCTACCTGGCTCTCTATTCCAAAATGTTTCTCTGCACCTTTCCAACGAAGTACTTATTCTGGTTACCGATATATTTCATAGTGCTCTTCTGCCCCCATCTAATAATTAATCTCACCACTTTGAAATGTCAAAAGGGCTTTTGGTCTTGCCTTTCGAACCAGACAGCTGAACCGGCTCTTTGCACCCTGACTAAGGCATTACGATTGTTAGTAGATGATTTATTTTGTGTAACGGATAGTGCTATCCGCCTTTTTATGACTGCTGTAAGTGCTTTGAAAAGCTATTTACTACTGCCCCTAAACAATTCCCCCGGAATACACCCCTTACTGTCTTAGTATTTCATTAATTGTCGCGTGCGTCCTTAAAAGTTTATGGGTACATCTTGTGAATTGAATACTCATGAAAAATCTAGGTGCTTTCCTTAAGACCTTACTTATGATACCGTTTCGCAGAATAGGCGATATATTTTTGCCAACTATCACTAGTGCAATAGTGCGACGGATAACTGTTTCCCTTTACTCTGGGACGGTAGATATACCTGCATCGACCTAGAGTTGGTTCGTCCAATGCAAGTTCGTCACCTCTATGACTCAGATGTGACCGCCAACATGACGGAGCGCAAATCCTTCGCCTTTCTTCGAGACTCCGTCAAGTTCGACGATCCGGATATCATACCCACTGCCACCATCAGTGCCGCAAAGCAGAACGACTGCTCCTTCAAACCCACCTTCAGTCCGCATATCAGCCTCCTTAAGTGGTATCAACAACGCCTCTCGCCCTACCCTGACACTCTCTGCCCACCCATCATCGACTTGTCTGCCGAAACGTGGGCGGATGGCCGGGCCCTGCGGTGTCTGCTCCACAAGTACCGCTCCGACCTAGTGTCCGAGGAAGCTCTGAAGATGGAAGTGGCCATGGGTGTAGGAGAAGTTGTACGCCTCCTTGCCGAGTATTTTGGTGCTCCTAGCACTCTGGTGGACACGACATGGCTCCAATACCTCGACGTTCTTCATGACTGCCTGAAAGACCACGACCCTGCATTTGTGGCTAATATGACTGGTTAGTGTCCATTTTTTCCCGGCATTGAGGCCACTTATTTTACTTTCTTGCTTTTTGTGGTATGAGAAACTGTAACCATCGATATTTCGTTCGTTTCTAGACTAGAAATCAGATTTTAAATTGCTGTCAAATTTAGCGTTTCATTTACGCGGATTAAAACTTTGTCCATGAGTTCAGGGGATTATGAAAAGTATGCCATTTCTAGTTCCTGGTCGGTCATTAAAGTCTTAATTACAGCGAGTAAATTCGACCTTCTAATTAAATTTATGTATTTTTTGCATTTATTACGTACTACCCATTCCCAGTTGGTTAACTTGTTCAATAAATGTTTTTGGACTGTATCGCAGTTCTGAGTTGTGCAATTGCTTTTTTCCAATCTAGGCGCATTTTTTGATGATGTACCTGTGCATTCATTAATGAGATTCCTGACTATTTCTAGTAACTCCGTCAGTAGTTACGAAGCTTGGTATCCGGCTTTTTGACTTTGCTATAAATTACACTTACTCTCGGCCTACACAAACCAAAATCCTCGCGCTATTTTCGAATTCGGATAGTAGTTTGAAGTAATGCCGTACCATATCAACTTTGGCTTTTCATTTCCCATGCAGCGTTCATGCCCTCAGTACAATATCCCCTAACTTGATGGGGTTCCACTCCTCTCTTCAGAATTTGACAAAACCCGTATGTGTGCGCGGATGTGATGTTCATGAGCCCAACTCCTCATTTTCAATTGGTCCATCATCAATTGCGTCATTCGGCCATCACCGCACTTGGCTGTGTGCACTATAGTCGTCCGTTGTTCCATTGTTAACGGGGCGGTGCGCACGTGCTTGCTAAAACTGTCACAAGGGCGCTGCTGACCACCTTGCACGACCCAGACGACTAACAATACACCTCTCCACACACTCAATTTTCATTTGAATCTAATTTACATAAGGAACGGTAAAAGGGCTCTCGATGTTGGGAAATATTTATTTTGAAGCATTGTAGACGTAAATCTTCACCGATATTGGAACTATTTCGGCTTCCAGGAAAGTCGGTATAAAATTAAGAAATTTTTAACACAATCCTGATTTTGTTTCTCTTTAGTTCGGGGACAGCTTGTGGCTAAAAACGGGGTACAGCAGCACTCCTTCGTGGTTGCTTCCTCTAGTGACTCGATTCGTCCCTTCAATCGGTGCATTGATCCTCTGGCCTCGCCGCGGGTTTCCTCCAGGACACGTCCTCTCCTTTCGCCCCGAGTTGAGTGCCGTCGAGTGAATGTCCCTATGCTCCAACGCAGTTTGGAGAATCCGATGGCACGCGCTGAACCTCCGTCCACTTTACGCGCGAGGGAGGATGCTTCCAGTGCCGTGAAGAAGGGTCTCATGGCCAAGCGCAGGTCCGATCTCATCGCGATGCTCGTAGGTCTTCTGACTAGCTCCCCTCGGTTCACCTCATCGCCTTTGCAATAGGGTTTTTTAGGATTCTTCTTATGTTAATACATTTAGCTTGTCTTTTTTTCACTTTTGTTACGCTCTGCCCTAGTTGCTCTTTCTCTTCCTCCCTCTTCTATTCTTGCCTCATAATTAATTCCTGCACGAAATCATTTAGTTACTACTGTAGGAACTAGTCAACACAGTCAAGGGGAATTTATTTTGTTGGAGAAAGAGCACACCTCTGACATGATTGTGTGCTTGTTGACGTGACCTCCTGTGCGTGTCTGCTTGCCTACATTCTGCAAGGCGAGACGATCGTGTCGATCCAATAAAGTGATGTTGTCAGTCATCTTTACAGTCTGGAAAACACCCTGTCACTGACATTTTAAATGTTGCAATGAAAGCATCGGAAGGAGCCCAATGAAATGTAAAACTTGAGGTTATTCATACAGGTTTTTTAATATTCACTGAAAGTAATCCTTCCCCAACATTTCGCACAATTTGAAAATGGTCCTAGTGTCATTTTTTGGGAAATATCTTTATGAATGACTAGGAATAGACTTAAAATGGTAACCATAAGGGTCATACTTTAAAAATAAATAATCATGGCGGTGATTATATGAATGTGGAGCTTATTCTTGAGCTAGAAAATGTACCATGCGAAGAACCCTTTTCACAGTCATTGTTGCAGAGATCTCACTTGAAGCTCTACTTTTTTCGACGATTGTCTTCATAATAAAGACTTCATATTTTTAAAAAGTCTTACTTGCTGACAGTTTGGTCAATTGAAGGCTTTTGTGCTTCACAGCATCAAAAGTCGAAACTGTTCCTCCAACTGGCCTGCTAATTTGAATCACCTGAAGGAAAGGGCTGTTCGTCCATTATCCCTGGTGATGTCGCGTTTTGCAAATTTGCCTTAACAAAGCACCTCTTTGTCTACTTAAACCAATCATTTCCTGTGGATAAGTCATCACTTTACCAGCCCCCATACTTGTTAAGTGGGAGGCATTTAATATCAGAACTCCGTAGTCTATTTCTAGCACATTTACACCATCCCTGTCTGCTTTGAGCACTTCATTTCACTAAAAAGTTCGTGTTTTCGTTTGCACATAATTGGTGAAGACTTGCATAACACCCTAAGCAGTATTGTGGCAGTAGAAAAAAACCAAATATCCTCTTTCGATTTACTTGCATCCGGAATCTAAAAAAAAAATCTGAGCGGAAGTCCTTCACACATAAATGAGCTCTTGTTGATGAAAGGACTGCTAGTATATTTCCCTGACGATGAAGTTTATTCAATGGAATAAAAACCAAACAGTTGTACATGCACATATCTCTTGGAATCTATTTTTTACGCTTTAAATTACCGTCAGGAGAAAGGCTACACAATGAGTTTCATTATAGAATGATCCGGCATCGGCGAGACGGCGCAGCCTCCTGATCGACTGGGAGAGGGCCTTTGAGGAAGGCGGCCTGCAGCCTCTTCCGAGCCCCCCTCGGTGCCTCTTGCCTCCCCGGGACCATCAATCAAGTAACGGTGCTGCCAGCTTTAGAGAGGTGAGCTCACCCCACCCACTAACACCCTGTCTGTTGACACCGAAAGTTCACTGCGGCCGACCTCACCAATTTTCTCTTTCTCACTTGCGTCTGTTAGAGGTCGTGTATGGTGCGTCATGTACCGAAACCTCATTTTTGTGACGCAATTGCGCAACGTAAAACAAGCCACAATTTCACAAGGCGAACACTAGAAGCGCATCCTTATCCACTGGCTTCATGATCTGATCTGAAAGAAAACTTCCTTTATTCTCTTTAGAGCAACTGCCACGTTGTTTCACTTAACTCTCTAGGTCAAGTTTGCTTACGCAGGCCTGCTTATTGTATTATTTACCTCTTGTTCGGATAGCCCCTATGACCTTTATGTCCCACTGGGATTGCTTTTGATTGTATTGCTACCCAATTTGTTCCATCAATTCACAGGAAGTGTAAGTGAGCCTGCAGTAAAGCGTATTCTTCCAAACCACTTCATAAAACGTCTCATGTTGTCGACTGCAATGCCTGTAGCTCTGTAACGTTGAAAATACCCTTAACTTATCCTTCAGGACTATTGGAACAAACTCTAGCTATAGTGAATGCCTACAAAAGTAGATAAAAAAAATTAACCAAAATGGGCGGTTTCATTTGCAAAAATGAAGTTGTTATTTAATATCTCTGACTCTTCCACAACTTTGCCTGTCAGAAATGCTAAACAATGGGTTTTGGGCCTTTTTTGATGGCATATTCGACTTTTTTGTAGCTTTACGCGTCGTGAAAGTATCGTTGCTTTCAGTCCCTCATTTATCGGAAAAAAAGCAGTCTTCGTGCATGCCTCTGCGCCATACTTATTGTGAAGGTAAAAATTAAAACTTCGTTGATATTGTGCATCGACTATATTGGGCGTATTTTTGCGCGATTGTTGTCATTTACAGCTTTCTCGTACAAAAAACTACTGGGTCTTTCGCCTTTAAATCTGTACAAACCGGAAAAATTCGTATTTCAAGTGAAATTCTTGAACGCTTGATTTTGCTTCGCAATCAAATGACTCTTACTTTGATAAACTGAATATGTTGAGTCGGAATAGTGTGTTTTGTGGATACTCTTGTACATGTATGCTAATGGAATTTGGGTTTAATGTCCTAGAAATCTCGAGATTTCTGTGCTGTCTGCAAAAAGCCCCTCTACGCAGCTGAAAGTCGAGCCTACGATGGTTTTCGCTTGCATCCGAACTGTTTCCGTTGTGTCGAATGCCACCGCACCCTTCGCCCAGACATTGCCCACTGCCTGCGTCACCAGACTAACCGTAAGTACACTCGTGACCTTAAGTCTAGTTTACGCTTATGGCATTAAGTCGACTTCGTGTTATTTGTTGATGCTTTGTTCCGCTGATTCAATGCATCAGCGCCAGTTCCACAGAATATTTCGTCCAATCAACCACAAGTAATCATCTATTTACCAGGGGTAACGGCTAGCCGTATAATTAGTTCAGCGCCTTAAACTATTCACTCTGGTCAATTTATTGTCCGTAACGGGCTTTCATTTGAATTAAGCATGTATAAACTTGTACTTCTGCATATTCTTAATTTAAAAATTCTTTCCAGCTCATGAATTGACTGATTTCGAGAATGCTGTCTTGTGAAATTCTCCTAAATATTTTAAATTTATTTTAAAATATCAATAAGACATCTTTAGACTAACTAATGACGTCATATTCATCCCTCCTTAATTGCCCAAGTGCTCCGTCTCGAACAGTGATCAAACATCAAATGGGCTGAAATAGCAGACATGTCTGGCACTTCAATCACCATGTATGCGGACCAAATGCCCCGGGTGCAAACAAACTAAAGTGTTCCACGATTTGTTTATCATAGTTCGGTGGATGTGACTAATCTTCCGCTCCCACTGTCTCTCCCTACTTTTATCCTTTTCGGAACTACACAGGCACTCAATATCACAGGTCATGTTCCATAAAGCCGAGAAGGCGTAACAGTTGCAGATGTGCAGCTCATTTCACCCACACTACGCTTTTTCTTTTGATGTCAGGGTGGAATTTTCGTGGATGTGAACCTTTGCATCACCTATTGTGCTACCAGGTGGTGAATTACATCAACCGTAATGCAGTTATTTCTTTTTTAACCATGGCATAACATCTGGTGCCTTATATACTTCCGGCTTCTTAGAGCATGTATTGGACTGTTCTTTTTGGATGCCATCCAGCTCCAAAACTGAGATTGTGTATTTCTTTAACAAGTTAATATGCTTTCACACTATATGGCGCTTGGCTCCTCATCCTGAACTTGAACCGAAATAATCACGATGTCGGGTAACCCGCTTCATGAAGTTGGGGTGCGCGCGCACACCCTCGTCTCGTGCACGCGTGCGCAGGGGTGGCGCAACACGCACCATTCAGAGGCGCGTGTTGCATGCGACGCGGGTGCGGACGTGCGAGCAGCTGCCTGCTTCGCATCATCACTCATTTTATCAAGTCAGACTCTTCTCTGCTCCCGCTCTCCATCTCGATCTCTTTGTCGCCTAGCTAAATTCTACTGCACAGCGCACTTTCATCCTGCGTTGACGATCGCCGAAGCGACTACTTCAGGCTCGAGGATATCCACCAGGAAGCCGGGTATGTCCTCTCTTCTCTGTCCTATTTCACTCCTTTTAAGTTTGTCTAGATATATTGCTAATTTTCACTGAACCTTCACGTAATTTCTAATAATTTACTTCATTATTTATCGTTTTCAATTTGTAGTCGCATAAAATGGGTTATATTTGTTCAAAAATCTAGGTTAACGAGTTAACGGTTCTCCTCTTCTGTACGTGTTTAGGCACACAGATAAATACGAATTATCCAAAAATCTGCCATATCCAGGTGTCACTCCCACGGTGTTTTTGTAAAATGCATGTCCTTTCCGTTCATGTCACGGCATAAACCAAAAGGCTGTTTATGTCACGGACGCACCTCGTGCTGGTATATCGGTTCCACTGTCTACAATAGTCGGTCAGTTTCTGCTCTGACTGAGATTTCAAACTTGTATCACTATGCTTTAGCATCAATGTTTTTGAGCTGGAATCCCCACAGAATGGTTGTTTGAGTAAATACTGCTGCTTCGCTGTAGACCGTATGCGGTCTGCTTTCTTCTTCTTCTTCCACTCACAATCGTAAGAAAAATCGTCACTTCTGTTTGGCTTTAACTACAGTCTTGTAAAGCTACTTTGACAAAACTTATTCTGTAAGTAGTGTTTCATGCAGTTTTGTGAGCACTTTTTTGGTATCATTCCATGCATCATACAGTAACAATCTAGTATGCGTTCTTGCTCCATTCTATGCCTTAACTTTCTGTCATTCCAAAATCAAAATCAGAATATTCTAAAGGTGTGGTTTTAATGTACAGATATCATTATTAAATCCTTTAATATATTTTATCCGTTTAAACCATTTTGAGTCCATCAAAGTACGATTAACGCTTTTTGTGCTACCAATGTAAGCTTTTCTATATCCGCTTCGGCAAATTTTTTTAAAGACAAGTTCCGAACCTTCTTCCTTTTGTGAGGATCCATTTCCGTACCACCCATGGTTTTGATTTAGCTATCGAAATATGTACTTTAAGATTGAGTTTTTGCTCGCTTAAAGGCCTGTTTTAATAGCTCTCCAAGACAATTTAATGGTTGTTTAGTCGTGCTATGGCTTCAATCAAAACTCGGCGCTACTTGGCTGTTGTCGTGTCAGTTTTGTGCCTTCCTCTATCAGCTGGCAGGATTATCTCACTTGAAATGCATTGTTTTTTTTTTTATCACGCTGACACTTTTGGAACCATGACTACCCAAAATCTCTTACCGTCATCTTATTTACTAAAATTGTTTAGTTATCTTTGCGACCTTTGATGTTTCCTACCCTCCCGTTGATATGCTTGCATGAACTGTTAGCTGTATATCTTACACTGTGATCTAAGTACTTGATTTCCTTGTTAATTCATTTCCACCCAAACGCTGCTAGTGGTAGTGTTAATACCCTTCCACCTTTAGTATCCTAATGGTCGCACCGTTGTAGTGTTGTCTGTGGACAACCTGTATATCAACTTTCAGATATGAATGGAGTTTGGTGTGGTCCAACTATTGCTCCGTTCAAATTTCTCTGCTTTTGAGGATTCTCTTTTTCCACTCGTCTTTGTGTTCTTTTAAAAATACCCGGTCTATTTTGGAAGGAGCAAATGTAGTTGACAAAAGTATTCTATACTGTGAGGTGACCAATGTCATTAAATGTCACGAGGAAATTTACTGCCAACATGCATCGGTTTGCAACATTTCCTATTTCAACACGTTGTTTATCTGAAATTGCGCTCACGACAATATGCGGACGCATTTGATCCCTGGAAATGAATGTTTAATGCACAGCCTGGTTTGCGTTGGACAATGGATTAGATTTGCATTGTTTAACTTGTTAACAAGAGATCAGCTTTCCTGCACATTCCATTTAGAGGTATGAATCGACATGAGTCTATTTCGTGTTACATCTAAGCGGGTACTTTTGCTTGGAATAAACTTGTTCCTTCTCATCTGGGGATTCTTCTTTGTTTGTCGCCACCCCATTTATGCCCCGACCCCCCTTCGACGACTCTGTGGATATCTACGATGCCGCACTCCACTCGCCCTAGGTGCTTAGCTGTTGTGCCCTCCTTCAATAGCGACCGTTAATCTGAAGAAATGTTTGTCAGCAGATTCCATTTCTCTTCGATTTACCGGTAATATTAACGTTCTTTTCCTTTGGATCATTAATTCCGGGGTATTTGTTGCACGAAACGTGACTGCTTGTTCTCTATTTCTTGTCGTGGATGGAGGGGTTTATTGCCTTTTGTTTTTTTAAAATAAGACTAAAAACTCCACACTGGTCCCAGGCGGAAAAATTTTACATTAAACGTGCATTTTCTAAAGCACTTATTTCATCCGTTCATTCTTTCTCATGAAGCCTCTTGACTAACGATTTCGCATTTCATGGGAAAAAGTTGGGCTGGGAGTGTACGTCATGGATACGTGTTGATTGAGCGGGTGACAGTGTTTTGCTGGAGGGCATTCAAAAATGTCCTATTTTTTTTTAACCCGCTACGCCGCAAGTCGCGCTAAACATTGGAGCCCAAAGCAACATTCGACTTCGTCCAATACGCTCTTAATGTGGCTAAGCAAATCGCTCCCCCTTACCTTTGTGGAGGAATTTGTTAGTTTTGATATGGTTTTAGTACAATGAACTAGGTTTTATGTTTGGCTGTTGTCCACGTGGCTAGCTTTATTTAAGACTCCCCGAGTCGGTCGTTAGACAATCCACTATGTGTAACCAGGATGGTATTCCACTGGACTCTCTTTTCTGTGTCATTTGTTTGTGTTAAGTTTTACGCATTAATTTGCCGCTCAGTAGCTTCACGAAGCCCCTCTACCTCCTAACTTTCAATCTCCATTCACAATCGCAGATGATTTACTATTGTTATTGGAGCGATTCTCAAGTGGAATTCAATAACCAGGTTTTTCATACTGCCTGTTGTCAAACTCGTTAGCATATATTTACTTCACGATTATTGTGTACCTTCGAGCAAGAAGAGACGATCCATAACTAGCTGTGTGTAACACTGATCTTAGCTTAGGCAATTTGAAACTGGTGTTCCCAAATCGGTTTCTCGTCGTATTATATTAAGTCTGTAAGAAAGACGACGGATGAGTCTCGTCTCCTAAACCGGATAACTATTCCCTTCCAGTTCTCCCGAAACCACGTGCACACAATACCCCAAGCTTATTCTCCCAGCTGGCCAATCCGGCGTCGCCGCCAGGGTTACGTTGGCATTCGTCCAATAACAGTCCAATGACCACCGAGGGGGTGGAGCGTGCAAAACCAGGGGCGTCCGCGGAGCTGCGTCGTAGGTCTGCTGCTAGGGGCATCCGAGACGAACCTGCCCCGCCCATCCTTCTTACCTCCCGCAACGTCCCGGGCACCCTCGGCCTGCCCGAGTGCGTGCGTCGCGCGGCCTTCGACGAGCGCCTCTACCGTCTCAACGGTTGCCCCTCTCCGGATGACTTTATCAGGTCCCTACTTTTTACCATTTAAGTAGCATGTGCTTCAACTTCAGCCCAATCAGAGGTGGGTTTGTAAGTTCACACACCATTCTCGGTGGGTTTATGAAGTGATTCAGTGAGTCTCCAACTTGTCTTCCTTCTTTTATACGGTTTCCAGAGCCTTTTGCTCTTCCTCACACTCTAATTATTCCATTTTTGGTAAACGCTAACTATGGTATTTTTACTTTTCTCAGTGAAATTTGATTGATCAATTTATCTTAATGTAGAACATATTTTAAATGTGTTAGGAGAGGGTTCGGGTCAGAAAGACTGAAACGCAATAGCATTCACACATACCTGCGATGCACACATATTCTCATTCTTTCTGCAAAATCAAAATGAACTTCTATGCGAGTGTGCCCTACTTCACTTTACCTCCAACCTTCCCCCTATCCCCGCTTGAACATCATCGCTTCCTTCGTCCCTGTCGCATATCCTCCTTTCCGGACCGAATGCACATCCTTGTCATTGCTAATTCGTCCTCTCCTTTTCACTGCTTTGTGCAAACAGTTAATTTGCTCACATCACCTTGAAGGTCACTGGAAAAGCTCTTTACTCTTACTCCCCATTGTATTATTTGCCTATTTTAGTAGCTTCACCTATTCAGAGATTGATGGAAGTGCTACCTATGCAACAACGCGGTGTTTCAGTTATTAATTCTGGTGTTCTGAAACGTACCCCCCGCGATGGCATTGCGTTATTCCAGCTCGGTGATATTACAGCATCAACCATCGACTAGCATTATTTTCATTGACACTTGTTAGTACTGCATAACAATCCCCCACGGTCCCCAGTCCTTTCGACTTTCGCCTAGGTAATATTGGTCATTTCCGTAGGCATTATGAAAAGTTGCATTGCAGTTAAACAATGACTTCAAAATTGATGAGATGATATTTGAATACAGGCTTTTGCGACAAATCATCACCATAGCGATTATACATGGTAATCAATTTATTTCGAACCAAACTGTCAGGATGTACTTGTGTAATACTGTTTTTGGTTAATCAGTTTTGCCGAATGTCACATACAAACTGTGGGGCAGTACGGTGGGAGTTTGTGTGCCAAAATAACTACTTCAGAATTCGCTTAACTTTCTTACACTATCAATATTTTGGTTAGCTAATGTCATCGCATTTTTTCCTCATCTTAGCAATCGTACCTCTCGAATCCTTGATGAGGAAGAGGACTGTTTTGCGTAAGTTGCTTGATGTAACTTGCACCACATATGTACGGTTTGCTAGCAACTGTGAAGCCATTTTGTGGTGCCTTTTGCTATCGTTAACTTACTTGTGAACGGAGTTGAATGATTTCGGTGGCGATATTTACTTTGCCCTGAGCTGTTGGAGTTCAGATCCAACTAAACCCCCCCACAAATAAAGCATATGCAGTTTTTTTACATTAAAGCACAGTTCCTCAAGTCTCTCAAAGAACCTTCCTTATTTTTACTACATCGAATGTGCTCTTCAAACTTATATTTGCTTTTGCTATCATCATGAGACATAACGGTGATTTTAATCCCGTCAACATCCACAAGAGGCAATCACTGCTATCTAAATATGAGTAACTTAAGTGTAAAATAGTGTGCCACCATTTTTAAAGTAAATCTCCCTAATTGGTCACCAATTGATATTACCTTCAAGCAGTGTCTGTCTGAAGTTTTTTACACGGAGTGTGTAAGTAATTTCGTTCTTCGACTACAGTTCCAGTGAAAACGAACTGTCAGACCGTGGGTTAACAACAAGCAATATCACTTCGACTGCCAGTGAATCTCCTCCGATGAGCCTGGACGAGGCGAAGCACCTTTGTTGTATCATGCGTGAAAAAAACTTATACCGACGTCACCATCCATCCACAGGGAGCTCTTCCGGCAGTAGGGAAGAAGAGGAGGAAAAGGAAGATGACGATGACGATTCTATGAGTGACGAGGACAGCAAACTCGTTAATATGGACACCTTCGACACACCCCAACCGATCTCAGAGTACGAAAATGTCCGCTGGACCCTTGTCAGACCTCCCCCCTCGCCCGTTTCCTCCGTCGCCACAAACGCCATCGGCGCTGTATCCTCCACTTCTGCTGCAGAGCCCTCGCTACTGGTTCGGAAGTACGGACTCTCTGGCTCCATGCTTCTAGCAAAACAGCGCTTCTGTATGGCGGATCCTGAGCCCATACACATCGACCCACGCGCATTCAGAGCAACGAGGAACAAGGAGCGTACCATTGAGACCACCCTCCCCGATTGCACCGAGCAGGTGGAGTTCCTACCCGACGCAAATCTCACCTCCCTCCCCCTCGCTGAAGTCGGGCACCCTTCAGTCGATGGGATAGATTTCTCATTGACGTATGGATTGGTCAAGGTGATTCCCCCCCACTCCTCTTCCACCCAACTTAATGTGGCTCTCCACACTGACCCGGTGGAGCCACTGCCCTCACTGGTGTCGTTACCCCCCTGCAAAACAGACTCCACTGCCTCCTCGATTATGAGTGAATGTGTTTATATGAGATGTGATCCGGACAATTTCGCAGAAACGAACCCTCATGCACCGCAAGGGATGAGTGACTTGGTTCCCGCCACATCAGTGCTGTCCTGTGCTACTCCAAGTTGCTCCTCAACTGTGCAAAGTGAGAGCGTGGTTTTAGAAGGGAGGCGAGCTA